GAGAGAGAATATATCTATAACACCCAAGGGGGTAGCAGAACCATTGGAGTCATTGAAGAAGGATGTGGTAAAGCAAGAGCGGGATCCAGAAAAACACTTAATAAATCAGGAGGTGGATACATGGCTGTCAGCAAGGACCAAGCGCTAGCTGAGAAAAAGGAATTTCCATCATGTGCCAAATTAGATATTGATGATCCTGCAGATTCGACAGCAACAAAAGCAACATGAGAACCTCTACATTCGTCCACTTTTTTCCTTTCCAATCAATTTTTTTAGATATCTGACATTTCCTTGGGTTAGGCTGTGAGATCAAACGCCTCCAGAAGTTGTGACACAATGAGAGCTGAAGCTTGTCANATGAGAACCTCTACATTCGTCCACTTTTTTCCTTTCCAATCAATTTTTTTAGATATCCGACATTTCCTTGGGTTGGGCTGTGAGATCAAACGCCTCCAGAAGTTGTGACCCAATGAGAGCTGAAGCTTGTCGTTAATTTAATGGTGAGCACGACCCTGATGATCTACTATTTCAATAGCAATGTAATAGCTGTTTATGTGACAATATTCTGAAGATGAATGTCCTTTCTTCATGTTCATCATTCCATGCCGCTGGATATGGCCATCGTTGAACCACTATGACCACAAGTGAGTTGCATCAAGTTTGTTGAATTGGATACAAAATTCAAGTGAATTGAGTGTAACTGAATGAGAGGATAGCATTGGTGATGGATTGGATGAACAATGTGTCTTTGCGGATTTTTTATAGATTGTTAGTGGGTTTATAAACACATTTTGATGTGTTTGTTTGTGGAGGTGGTGCTATAGTGGGCAATGTTTCAGAGGAGGGGGCAAAAGAAAAGGCCATTTAGATACAGGGTCCTTTCTTTCCACTTGGGATTATTCTCATTCTACTCGGGAAGAATTTGTATAAACCGGCAGTTGATTAGCAAAATTTTAGTTAATATAATGCAATTTGAAAACTAATTTCTAAATCACAATTAATATGGTGATAATAACCGCAATCATATGATCATCAAATTATTTAATTATTAGCCTTTGATAGATTGTCATTTTTTAGTTGATGAGATTGACTAGCACATTTAATTTGGTATGTTCTTTTGCATTGATGGATCCAATTATATGTTCGGTCTACACTATTTGCGTTTGACATAGATAGTTATTTTTCATGATAATCTAATAGAATTTAGTGACTGAATACTATGACATTAATTGTCAATATAATATTGTTCTTAGACAAGAGAGAAAGAGAAGCTGGCAGATAGAGAATGTGAAAGAATACAAAAATTGTATTTAACCTATGATCGGGGATAGGATTGTCTTTTCAACATTATTGTGAGTCAATATTGTCTTAAAAGTTTTAGTTTTAACACATAAGGGCATAGTTGTCAAATCGCGATTCGTATCGTAAAACGGAATTCTAAATTTGAGAATCGTGAATCGCAAGATTCGACACAAAATTTGAACAAAAATAAAAAATAATATTTACATATTTAAAATAAGCAAAATATTGAATATTGAATATTATTGCATTCTAAAAATAATCAATTGACATAATCGCGTTGTCTAAATGGAAAAACGCTAGCTTTTTACTTAATTTTCATCTTTTGCTTAACCATTTTCAAATTCAACATCTTGAAAAAAAAAATTATTAAAGAATCATGGCTATTCAAGAACCAAAATACTGATACCCAATATAGATTAGGTTACAAACATGAATGAAAAAAGAACAAAAAAAAAATTAATTGGGAGAAAACATACTGGCTAACATTTTAAAACAAAAAATTAGAACCTAACAAACTATTAATGAAACAATTGAGAACAAAAATCAAAGTTTATTCTAAAATATGATGACAAGGGATTGAAAAATCCAATGTACAAAAAAAAAAGGCATGCTAGGGCTTGCTTATTGTTAAGAAGAAGAAGAGAAGCAAGAAGCATACCTTCAGTTGACGACGGGAGAGCTTTAGTCTTAACCTTCAACTTCAAACAATGTGAGGTGAGTTTCACATGACACGAGAGAGAGAAAAAGAGAGATAACGAGCAAAGCGATTGAGTTTTTATTTCCTCTACTAATAAAACGTCATTTTACTATTTAGCAAACAAAATGACATCGTTTTCCCAAAAATTTAGATTTTAAAAAAAAAGTGACTAAATCATGCAATGTGTCATACAAATCGAATCATAAGAATCGCACAATTCAGATGCAATTCAACAATAAAAACTATTCTCATATAAGATAAGTATTATTTTGTGCCTGTATCGAATCAAATTAAATCGAGAATCGTACGATTTTGATAATTATGCATAAGAGTATTCTTGAAAATGTAATGCATAAGGGTATTCTTGAAAATGTTTGAATTTTTTGAATGAGGGCATCGTTTAACATTAGCCTTACTAATGCTCATCATGCAAACAGGGTTTATCTTTTTCAACTTGCAAGTGTGAAGAGGGATGTCCATGTCATTGTGCAAATTTGTGGGATGCCCATGTGCTTGGTAAACAAAGTAAAGCAGAGCTACCTTCTAAACCCCATGGAGATCCGAAAAAGGCAAACATCTAAAACTTCCTATGGCTCTAGTCCAAAGTGAAACCATGAAAAACAATGCTTTCCCATACAAATTCAAAAGGAAGATAATGAGTAACGACCAAATTCTTGCATTGCTTTCCATTCAAATGCACCAAAGAAGTGGGGCATTATTCATCAACACACAATTTNAATGAGTAACGACCAAATTCTTGCATTGCTTTCCATTCAAATGCACCAAAGAAGTGGCATTATTCATCAACACACAATTTCATAATACTTTTGCTTTCTTTTCTTTTCAAAAACCCCAAAACTTAATCTACCACATATTCTTTGCGATAGAAGGACAAACCCAAGCCTCACCGGTCAGTTTAAATAATTTTTCCACAAACCTCATGCAAATCCACAGTGAATGAATAAATGAACATTCGACTCTCCATTACTCAACCAAGTAAGACAAATGTATGGGATCAATGCTTTATAGGGCCTCTGAACTTGCACTAAATCATTAATGTCCACCAAATTAAATACAAGAAACCAAACAAAAGCCTTAATTTTTTTTAAAGAATTTTGGCCTTCCAAATAAATTTAGTTAAGGAGAAAGTTTCAGTGTTCCAGGGGCTAATGAGATGTGAGTAAAAAGATCTGGAAGAAAAAATTCTAGGTTTTAGCCCGCTCCAAATTCTACAATCATGAGAAGAACAATGGTGAAAATTATGGAGAGTATGAAACAATGAAGTCAAGTCAGCAGCTTCGTGGTCATTAAGTTGTTAAAGAAATAAAAAAACCCAAGAATAAGAGCCCATACCCAAAACAATAAAAGAGGACATAAGAACTTCATGGAGTGAGGACAAACAATAAATATAGAGAAAGATATTACGAGGAGATGAGTCCCCAATTACTCTCCCAAAATAGAACTATATTCATCTACAACTATATACCGAGTCATTGACAAAAAGAAGAGTGGACTTTTGAAATGAACTTCCAAGGACTCATATGAGTTAAACAATGCCCTGATTTAGCATCTCACACATTTTTTTGAAGGCCATACTTACTCCTAATTATCCTATGCCAAAAGGAATTAAATTCTGGCAAAAACCTTCATAACTATTTACTTACAAAGGAAATGTTTTTAAATAGCAAATCACCAAGTCTCAATCCCCCTTCGTCTATAGGCTTACAAACTATTTTCCAAATTACTAAATGGTATTGTTTATAATCTCCCATCACAAACCAAAGCAAATTCACCATTAGTTTCTCCAATTTCCTAACTATTGCTCTAGGCATTCTAAATATAGTCTAAGGAAATGCTACACAAATAAGCTTTCACCAAAGTGATCCTTCTTCCACGAGAAAATGTTATTTCTCAACAATCCAATCTTTTGCTCATCCTTTCAACAACTGGGTTCCAAAAGGATAATGATCTTGGATTTCCTATGACTTGGCCAAAGATCTAATTAAGAAAAAGCACATTCAGAAAACAGAATAGAAAAAATAGTGACATTAGCAAACTACAAATGCGATAGAGTTGCACCCTCACGATCCACTCCAATCCCCCTCAATCAATCCTAAGTCCTATGCTCTAATAATCATCCTACTCAACCACCAATGTAAATATAAAAGGAAATATAAGATCCCCTTCCCTTAAACCCCTTGAAACATTGAATCACTCCCTAAGCTCCCGATTCAACAACATCAAAAAAGTATAAGAGAAACAACACTTATCCACCTCCACCTCTCTCCAAAATCCTTATTTTATAAGACAACATCCACAAAAGCACTCTAAACAAAGTTATTAGGTCTCCTAAAACATCACGAAGCCTTCTCGACAACACATTATTAATAGTTTTATACAAACCAGTCACCAAACTGATAAGCCTATAATCCTTATAGTTAATGAAGCAATCTCTTTTGGGGAACAAAGTAATAAAGGTAGAAATAATACTTATCCCCACAACACCATTAACAAAAAACTCAATTGTATACACATATCATATCATTCTTAATAGTCTCATTATTTCTAATAGAAAGCTATGTGGGCTTTTACAAACTCTGTAATCTCTTCAGCAACAATGTGATCATCTTAGTAGTCCTCATTGTGCTCACCATCCCAACAATTTTGAGACCCAATATGTAATCAGATGTATCAAAATAGAGCAATTGTAACAGAGAACTGATAATTTTATGTACTTTTAATGGTTGTCGTTGTGATGAAAAAAATTGATAATGATTAGTGACTTTTAGCTAAAGAAAAAGAAGGTGAGAAGGGAGGCCCCACAGAAAAATGGGATAAACATCTTCTTATGCAATGAATTTATAGTCCAACTTTAGACAAACAAAATCATATGAAAATCTTCTCATGCAATGCATTTATAGTCGAACTTCAGACAAACAAAATCATAACAATGCAGAGATATTAAAGGACCCACAAGATTTATGAAGTATGCTAACCTCACTCAATCACCCCTCCAATCTATCAATTCACTGCGCGAAGCAAACAACTTTGCCATTTGTTCCTCAGCTTCAATATCATTAACAACACCCCGGCATGAAGGAAAGCCACAATAGCAAGCAAGTTGTTCACCAATTGAAAAGAATCTGCCATTGAAAAGCAAGAACGTTAGTCAACAGAAACAGAATGAGAATATGGAGTATAAATTGGCGGAGGACCTGTAATCGTATGTCAGCTCTTCCCCTTGTTTAATATCTCTTTTGGCAAATATAATTATATGTTCATCACCGTTGACACTTATAACTCTTGAATAGCAATTTGGCTACAAAAAGAAAAAGCACATAACTAGTCAGACATCACCAAAAACAAGCTGCAGAACAATGGTTGCAATTAACATTTGGTTATAGTAGCACAAGCACTTAAAAATTCCCAACACAACTCTCTTGTAGTTATACCAGATCCTGAATGGCAAAATGAATCTGAGGCAATCAGGAATTTTACAATTTTCCCATGTGAAACAAGGAAAAAAATAAGGGATTCACAACCCCAAGAGAAAGAGAAAATAATAGAAAGATATCAAAAGAAATCTCATGAGGAAAATTATGACCATGAGATATCAAACAACAACAAAAAAAAGTGTCAAATAAACAACAAATTGGGGAAAGCATTATACGTCGGTAAGTATGTGACAATGATATTTGATGGCCAACTCTGATAGAATGATTCAAACCTTTCCACATCTGATTCAACTGAAATTATGCAACTTGGCTCCATTCCAAAATCCAAATGTAATACACACATTTAGTGTACAATTGCATAAACCAAGACATTGGCAAAACCTAGGACAAAATATTTTTAGTCCACAAGTTCTTCACATTCCAAAGGACAAGGAAACATGGAACAAAGCTTCATTGAACATAAGTGTAAAGTGCGCATGCATCCCACATCGAATAATTAGGACCGCCAAAGTTAGTTTATATGCTTTAGAAGCTACTCCACTAATTGTCAATTGGTTGAGTTGGATGATTTAACATGGTATTAGAGCTGGGCCTTAGATGGTCAATGAAGCAATTCTCTTAGACGTTGGATTTCCCAGTATGCATTGTTGGTTGTTTGTTTGTTAGCCCCACGTGCGGCCCGAGTCCCACATGAAGGGGAGTGTAAAGAGAGATTGTATCCCACATAGGATCACCAAGGTTTCTTATACTTGAGGAGCTACTCTACTCATTGGCAATTGATTTTGGGTTGGACGCTCTAACAATAAGATCCAAAAAGTAGTATCTTCGATGTTCGTTTACCTCGTACTTGACCTTCAAAATACAAACTTGCCACTAGTTGCGACCAAAACCAGAAGTAATAGAAGTATTTCAAACACTAGGGGAAATATTTAGAGGATCAAAGGGGGTGGTGGGGAACCAAAACAGTGCATACATGCACAACTTTATATTGTACATCAGATAATTTGGAAGCACATGTGATGTGTAATCATTCAATAGCCCTCACAACACAATGAATATCTTTCCATTATTCACAATCTGTTCAGAAGTAAACAATATGTTACCATATCATTTTCCAATGCTACTCGCACAATCTCTATTCTAAAGTCAGAAAGGGCAACATTCTACCAATAAGAAAGGCAATATGAATCGATGAAGGCCCAAATGGCAGGGATAGATTCTGTGTAGAAAATCAATTGATCACAAACAATTATTAGGTTCTAAACTACACAATTTTTGGTTTGGAAACTCAATAATATGAAAACCTAACAACCAGGAAAACAGTGAAAAGAGGCCCGATAGGAGCATATTGTTTCAAAACCTAGCAAAACATCATACACTTGGTGCCTCCCTAGTTATTATCTTTTCAAGAAGATGATATGAGAACCCGCGGTGAAAAAATAAATGAGATCTTACCCATTCACAAATTGGCCTTGTCACCTGACCTCTCTTGTTCCTGGCTTGCACAACTCATGTCCACCTCATAACAACTTCCTTCACAGCTTATATTAGGATTCGTTGTATTCTTCACCTTTTACAACCATGTTTGCTACTGCCTATACGTGTTCACATGTGTGATGGGTAATGTTAACAGCCCAAGTCTCCATTTACACCCCTTTGCCAGCGCAAATTCACTCCGCTAACTTTCCATGGGTAGCAGCCGTTCTGTGAGTCATTTTGAAGACCCACGGTGCTGTGGTAACTGGTCTTTCTTGACCGAATACAAGGTGTTACAGGTTGGTCTAGCCCAAATATATTGGACTCAATTTTCTTGTGTGGCCACATTTCATTCTGCCCATATGTGCATGCTTGCTAAATCCAAACATGTTGGGCGTGGAACGTATCATTTTTTACCAGTCAAAAAATCTCAACTCAACTCAACAAAACCTTGTCCTAACATATTTTAAAAAATCTGCATCAAGAAATTAACTTAAACGAGGAACAGCAATAGATAATACATACTTCGCATGAGTGATTAATCAAATGTGCAATGCTTCCAGCTCTCGTTGCATCAATTACACGCCCTTCATCAATTCGGAACATGTAAGTCCCTGCACCCTGGAAGAGTAAAAATGTTAAAGAAGTTTTGTTGCAGATTATTTCCCTTCCAGTAAATCAGCATCTACAAATGCAACAATCAGAAGAACCATCAAAGGCTTAAGATCTATGACATTCTCATCGCTATCTTGTACACACCAATTCTAAAACTACAAGGACCATGGCTTGTAGGGAAATCAACCAGCATAGTGAGGAACCTAGTTTGTCATTCTAACTTCGTTTTTTCAGTTGAGGAAAATCAAATAATTATCCACTCATATACAAAGCAGAGGAAGGCATGGACTTTGCCTTCCTGTACTTCCAAAAGACAAGAGAGTATGATTTGACTAAAGTCCAAACTAGTCTTTAGTTACATGTGTGACTATTGCAGCAAGTGTCTATCTTTCACATACACATACATTGCCCATAAATACTACATATTTTAGTAGACTATAAAATCAGTCTGGGTATGACTAAAGAGTTATAAACCATCAAAACAAAGGTTTCCATTTTCAATATTTTGCATTGAATAAATACATGGCATCCCAATCTATCAATATTAAAAAAAATATGGAAGCACCTAAAAAACACAAACACATTCAAGACACAAACTCAACACAAAATGGACACGCTGACACAGAAAATCCTAAAAAAAATAATACAAACGTATCCACGACAATAAATTACCATCTTTTTATATGCAACAATATTTACACAAGGCACGAACCAAGAGTGATCAACTACCGAAGAAAGTGGAGGCAAGTCATAGTTCGTGTCAAAACGGGTAATGTGGTGATGAGTGACTTCTTGGCACAGAAACTCACGCCAAAACAACGACAATAACAAGCAAGACATTTTGCTAATTTTGATTGATCTAGTGCTAGAGGATAAGCAAGGACAAACCAATCATATCACAAATGCCTCAAGTAGGAAGGTAAAGCTAGTTTTAAGATTGTATTTATATTTATGCTTATTTATTATTATAAGTATTCTAGTGTTTCTCTTGTGGCAGGGCTTTATATATAGTCTCTTGTACCTAGTTATTATTAATATGAAATTTTGGTACAACAGTCTTCTATTTTGTCTTACTCATTTCTTCGTATGTATTTTCTTCTTTGCAAGTTTATGTAATTTTTCATGGTATCAGAACCAACTCCCATTAGTCTTCGTTCTTCGGATTTGAAATCATTGTAGCATGAACAGTGACGTGAACATTGACTTGAATACTTTCTCCTCTCCTATACACTACTCTCTTGTCTCTTGTCATTGTGTTGTTTGACTATTATATGGATGCTAGGGTTTCATATGCTGGTTGTAGAAGACTTGTGGCTATTGTGTTAACTTACTTTAAAGTTTTTAAAATTGCATAGAAAACCCTAAATTTTTAGAAGCTGTAAAAATTTCAAAAATCAATCTAATAAATTATAAAAATTGTAAATTTTGCACCAAAATAAGTGTAGAAATTGCAAATTCTACCCCTAAATAATTTCATTTTCAACCTCAGAACAATGAGAAAATAACAAATTCAACTTACTGTTTCTATCCTTGATTAAGGTTTGGTGTTGAACCAAGAGTTGTAGAAGGAAGGAAAAAAGAGTATTTAGAACTTACACTATGAAAAATGGAAATAATATTGTATATGTTTCATCTCCTATAGGTTTGTCTTTTTCACATGATTCAAAGTATAGGCCGAGTTCGATATGACTCAGCCAAGTTGTATCCGACTCGACCCCTACCGATCCGATATCGATACACGATATGCAAAAATCCCGATTTTCAAAGACCCAAGTAAATCACCTTTAGGTATATCTTCCAGTACTTGGGTCTTTGATTCAAGTACTACACATTATATGACTAATGATATAGCTTTGTTTTCTTATACCTCATATCCTCTCCCCTTACCACTGTTCTAACTACCAATGGAACTTCCGTTGACATGGGCAACTGAGACATTTTGGAGCCTAAAGCGAAAACAATAAATGAGGCTTTTTTATTTTTTATATTAATAATAAATTTAGAGAGAAAAGGGGGAGAGAATGACGGAAAAATTATAACGATAAGTTCGAACTTGACATTTTTTTGGGGAAAAGGGGGGAAAACGTAATTTTTCAGTTTTAATGTTAGCTTTTTTTGCTTTTTTCAAAAAATTGAATTTTGGGGCCATTTAATTTCATGGGCTAAATTAATGGGCCCAATCTATTCAAATTGAAATATTTTGTTTTGGCTTAAATCTAAGCTTTTTGAAGGGCTTATTTCTTATAGATTCCAAATTTTTGTTTGGGTTATTGCTACACATCCATAAATTATGCGGTCTTCCTTAAAGTGGGGCCTAAAACCCAAGTTTATTAGCCTAATGATTGGTTCTGCCCTGCATATCAAAAGTAAGAGTTGAATCTGTTATGACTTCTCTTTCTTTCTATTGTTTACTGTATTCCTCAACTTTCTCTGAATTTAATTTCTATCAGTCAACTTTTTATTCTTAGTTTTATTAATCAATTTTTCTCCATTTGTTGTATTGTGCAGAATCCTCATTCTAAGAAGCTTATTGGAACAGACCATAGGGTTGAAATATTGTATATGCTAGAAAAATTACTTGATCCAACTGTGGTTGTTTCTTCCATTGATTGGTCTTTTTTTTTGTTTGAACCCTAAGTCTTCTGTGTTTTATTTATGGCATTCTTATCTTAAACATATTTCTAGTTGTCGTTTGAGGTTTCTAGTTGCTACCGGTGTTTTAGGAAATTTAAATAATCATGATATTTCTAATTGTAATGACTGTTTACTTGTCAGATTCACAACTTTATTTTTTAAGAATAGTTCAACTTCTTTTTCTACTCTTTTCAATCTTGTGCATTCTAATGTGTTGGATCTTGCCCCATTGCAACTAAAGGAGATTCTCGATACTATATTTCTTTTATTGATGATCATACTCAATATTGTTAAGTTTATCTCATGAAGTAACAATTTAAATTTTTCTTTATCTTTGTTGTTTTTTGTTCCATGATTCACACACAATATTCAACAATAATTAAATATTTTTAGTGTGATTTGAGTTATTAATTTACTTAATTAATGAAATCTGGTGGAACTATTAAGCAATCCTCTTATGCAGACACTTCTGAGCAAGAATGGTATGACCGAGCGAAAGCACAAACATATCATTGATTTTAGGACATTTTATACTTTGCACTCTCAATGTATAAAAAAATGTTACAATATAACCCTTCTGTGTCAACCCATACCCATTGACACAGACGAAAAAACTAACAAAAAGTTAAAAGAATGGTCATATTACAACATTTTTGATACATTGAAGGTGCAATGTGAAAAATTTAATCTTTCAGAGTGTAAAATAGGAATCTTAAATTCACAACTCTTTTTGGGAAANATTTTCTTCTTTGCAAGTTTATGTAATTTTTCATGGTATCAGAACCAACTCCCATTAGTCTTCGTTCTTCGGATTTGAAATCATTGTAGCATGAACAGTGACGTGAACATTGACCTGAATACTTTCTCCTCTCCTATACACTACTCTCTTGTCTCTTGTCATTGTGTTGTTTGACTATTATATGGATGCTAGGGTTTCATATGCTGGTTGTAGAAGACTTGTGGCTATTGTGTTAACTTACTTTAAAGTTTTTAAAATTGCATAGAAAACCCTAAATTTTTAGAAGCTGTAAAAATTTCAAAAATCAATCTAATAAATTATAAAAATTGTAAATTTTGCACCAAAATAAGTGTAGAAATTGCAAATTCTACCCCTAAATAATTTCATTTTCAACCTCAGAACAATGAGAAAATAACAAATTCAACTTACTGTTTCTATCCTTGATTAAGGTTTGGTGTTGAACCAAGAGTTGTAGAAGGAAGGAAAAAAGAGTATTTAGAACTTACACTATGAAAAATGGAAATAATATTGTATATGTTTCATCTCCTATAGGTTTGTCTTTTTCACATGATTCAAAGTATAGGCCGAGTTCGATATGACTCAGCCAAGTTGTATCCGACTCGACCCCTACCGATCCGATATCGATACACGATATGCAAAAATCCCGATTTTCAAAGACCCAAGTAAATCACCTTTAGGTATATCTTCCAGTACTTGGGTCTTTGATTCAAGTACTACACATTATATGACTAATGATATAGCTTTGTTTTCTTATACCTCATATCCTCTCCCCTTACCACTGTTCTAACTACCAATGGAACTTCCGTTGACATGGGCAACCGAGACATTTTGGAGCCTAAAGCGAAAACAATAAATGAGGCTTTTTTATTTTTTATATTAATAATAAATTTAGAGAGAAAAGGGGGAGAGAATGACGGAAAAATTATAACGATAAGTTCGAACTTGACATTTTTTTGGGGAAAAGGGGGGAAAACGTAATTTTTCAGTTTTAATGTTAGCTTTTTTTGCTTTTTTCAAAAAATTGAATTTTGGGGCCATTTAATTTCATGGGCTAAATTAATGGGCCCAATCTATTCAAATTGAAATATTTTGTTTTGGCTTAAATCTAAGCTTTTTGAAGGGCTTATTTCTTATAGATTCCAAATTTTTGTTTGGGTTATTGCTACACATCCATAAATTATGCGGTCTTCCTTAAAGTGGGGCCTAAAACCCAAGTTTATTAGCCTAATGATTGGTTCTGCCCTGCATATCAAAAGTAAGAGTTGAATCTGTTATGACTTCTCTTTCTTTCTATTGTTTACTGTATTCCTCAACTTTCTCTGAATTTAATTTCTATCAGTCAACTTTTTATTCTTAGTTTTATTAATCAATTTTTCTCCATTTGTTGTATTGTGCAGAATCCTCATTCTAAGAAGCTTATTGGAACAGACCATAGGGTTGAAATATTGTATATGCTAGAAAAATTACTTGATCCAACTGTGGTTGTTTCTTCCATTGATTGGTCTTTTTTTTTGTTTGAACCCTAAGTCTTCTGTGTTTTATTTATGGCATTCTTATCTTAAACATATTTCTAGTTGTCGTTTGAGGTTTCTAGTTGCTACCGGTGTTTTAGGAAATTTAAATAATCATGATATTTCTAATTGTAATGACTGTTTACTTGTCAGATTCACAACTTTATTTTTTAAGAATNTCAGCCAAGTTGTATCCGACTCGACCCCTACCGATCCGATATCGATACACGATATGCAAAAATCCCGATTTTCAAAGACCCAAGTAAATCACCTTTAGGTATATCTTCCAGTACTTGGGTCTTTGATTCAAGTACTACACATTATATGACTAATGATATAGCTTTGTTTTCTTATACCTCATATCCTCTCCCCTTACCACTGTTCTAACTACCAATGGAACTTCCGTTGACATGGGCAACTGAGACATTTTGGAGCCTAAAGCGAAAACAATAAATGAGGCTTTTTTATTTTTTATATTAATAATAAATTTAGAGAGAAAAGGGGGAGAGAATGACTGAAAAATTATAACGATAAGTTCGAACTTGACATTTTTTTGGGGAAAAGGGGGGAAAACGTAATTTTTCAATAGCTTTAGTTTTAATGTTAGCTNGCTTTTTTATTTTTTATATTAATAATAAATTTAGAGAGAAAAGGGGGAGAGAATGACGGAAAAATTATAACGATAAGTTCGAACTTGACATTTTTTTGGGGAAAAGGGGGGAAAACGTAATTTTTCAGTTTTAATGTTAGCNCAAACATATCATTGATTTTAGGACATTTTATACTTTGCACTCTCAATGTATAAAAAATGTTACAATATAACCCTTCTGTGTCAACCCATACCCATTGACACGGACGAAAAAACTAACAAAAAGTTAAAAGAATGGTCATATTACAATATTTTTGATACATTGAAGGTGCAATATGAAAAATTTAATCTTTCAGAGTGTAAAATAGGAATCTTAAATTCACAACTCTTTTTGGGAAGNGCTTTTTTTGCTTTTTTCAAAAAATTGAATTTTGGGGCCATTTAATTTCATGGGCTAAATTAATGGGCCCAATCTATTCAAATTGAAATATTTTGTTTTGGCTTAAATCTAAGCTTTTTGAAGGGCTTATTTCTTATAGATTCCAAATTTTTGTTTGGGTTATTGCTACACATCCATAAATTATGCGGTCTTCCTTAAAGTGGGGCCTAAAACCCAAGTTTATTAGCCTAATGATTGGTTCTGCCCTGCATATCAAAAGTAGGAGTTGAATCTGTTATGACTTCTCTTTCTTTCTATTGTTTACTGTATTCCTCAACTTTCTCTGAATTTAATTTCTATCAGTCAACTTTTTATTCTTAGTTTTATTAATCAATTTTTCTCCATTTGTTGTATTGTGCAGAATCCTCATTCTAAGAAGCTTATTGGAACAGACCATAGGGTTGAAATATTGTATATGCTAGCAAAATTACTTGATCCAACTGTGGTTGTTTCTTCCATTGATTGGTCTTTTTTTTTGTTTGAACCCTAAGTCTTCTGTGTTTTATTTATGGCATTCTTATCTTAAACATATTTCTNCATTGTTCACCTCAGTCTTCCTCTTCCTCAGCTACACACCTTCAATTATCCACACTTATTCTCGCAGAACCAAGACTAACTCATCTATAAGTACAATGCCTCCACCTTTTTCGTCTGTCTCCACCGACTTCTGATGATCTGGATTCTCCCTCTTCTCACTATCCTAAGTACATTCATAAGTGNAGTGGTGGCATTATTGGGAGGGGTTGTTTACCATCAGTTTTTGACATTAGAGTTCGCAAGGGTTTGATAGCAATGACCCCATCAAATGTGAAAGTGAGATCACTAACGGTGGAGGCTGTGAAATGGCAGTAGCACTAAAAGTGAAGTTGGGGGTGAAACTGAGAACAGCAGTTTTGACATAGGTGCTGATAATGGGGTAGAGCTGTGGATGAGGTGGCCACAAAAAGAACTTGGGCCACTAAAGTAGACCACACAAGAAGTAAACTCTGGGTGATAACTCTAATGTGCCCTTTTTTAATTTCTGTTAAAAAATTCCACTACACAAGTACAATTTGCTAACCGTCTTTTACTCTTGGATTGTGCAAGCATACTTTTCACTATCACAGACCACTACAGTTTTTAGTTGCACTTTCTGAAAATATAACACATTAGTCAGCATATTGTGATGTTGCAAAAGGTAAACATAAGTTTCATGGAAGAACATGAGCAGGTGGAATCATTGACAGCAGGAAAGTGATCTTCCTTTTTCTGGACAATGACTTTTCTTTCATACTATTTATTTCTTTTTTTCTTTAGGGGCGGGGTGGGTTATGAAAAACAGTTGGAATTGTGATGGTGATAGTTTTTACTCTTTTCAATAAAAGGCCACCGTATCTACTGCTTGAATCAAACCAATCAATAAAACATTTTGACAATGCTAAAGAGAACACATATAATAAATTTTGGCTATGGCTTAAAAACAGAATAAAATGAGTTAAAAGAAAGCAAAGAGATATGGACACCAATATACAAAAGATATTGCAAGTAATGAATTAGCATGAAATCTGAGAAAGTGAACATAAGAATGAACAAATCCGCATCACANCTCAATCTTCAAGACTTCAAGGAAGACAAGAAGCTTCATCAACTGGGAGCCTTTGATCATCAATGGGACAAGTATCTAGAGTCTTAGGAAGCCAATATTAGGGTCAGGCACAGTACAAGTAGTAGCTATCAAGTTTCGATGCAAAGGAACAAGCCTAGTCAACTAGCCCGCGATGCTTGTCGACTGGCCAGTCCACTTGGCTGTAACGCTAATTCACTAGCATCGTCAACATTTAGCAATTCTTACTGTTAAGCTAGCAATTGTAGCACCTATTAAAATGCCCAAACTTGTTTACAAAGGGGACTTTTTTTATGGTTTGAGAGCTCAGTATCCTATACCATATTGATAACATCTTAAGAGTATGTTGGGAAGCCTTGAGTGATGTACACCTTCATCTCACCATCACAAAGCTCACATGCTTGAAGAAATAGACCAAAGCAGTAGTGAGCAAGTTACCTAAATGTTTAGGATTATGTAGAGCTTATTGAAAAATAGCACACAAGGACATAATTCTGGTTAGGTAAGCAAAGTAGGAAGCAATAAGGAACAAAAAACCAGTTAAAGGGTGGCTTCTGCAGTCAAAACTAGTCGACTAGCTCTATGGCCAGTTGACCAGGTGCACACCTAGTTGAGCACAATTTTACAAGTTTAGTATCTGCATCAGATTTCAACTGATCATTCTACATCTAAATATAGGGCTACTTGCTCTTAAAAAATCTTGAAAAGTGAACAATTAAGTAACAAAGCCTTTCTTAAATATATCACACTAGCGCAGAATCCGTAAGTGTAGAAACTCGATTATTAGGACTGAAATGATTGCAAATTTTGGTCCACTAGGACATAAATGATTGAGAGTTTTGGTGGTTCCATCCCACCACCCACCCCAAAAAACAAAAAAACAAAAAAAAAGACTACTATAAAGAAGCCTAAACAATCTAACAACTAATTAAGCCACAAGGGGCAGAGTAAGCATTCCTCCAATTTCAATGTGGCAATATATATGCTTTAGATAAATAATTCAAGGTCCTGTAAGCATCTGCAAATGTGCATACCTTTCTTCCCCCAAGTAAAACAAATCGAGGTTTAAATAGCTGATATAGCTTACATCTGTATGCAGCCATACACATCATACAAGAAAAAAAAAACAGAAAGCCACAAGTTTTCTTCTTTGAAGCAAATCAAGGTTGCACACAATACTACAATAAGAAGTACACAATGAGATACTTTCAATAATTAGTACCACCTTTTGTAAAAAAAAAAAAAACATAAGACAACTGACAAGCAAATGAATGCGAATCTACCTTTTCAAATTTTAACTTGTACATCATCAAATCAAAGTTGAGTGATAGCCAATCAACTTAAAAGATGATTTACGAGAGTAGGGAATATCAGTTTCACTAGAATCCTAAAGTTTTTTTTTTTTTATGGCCGTAGCTTTGATGAACGAAAAAATTTCTGGTCAGAGGCAATCAATTAAGCCCCATTAAAATTTCGTTGAGTTAAANAAGTACAATGCCTCCACCTTTTTCGTCTGTCTCCACCGACTTCTGATGATCTGGATTCTCCCTCTTCTCACTATCCTAAGTACATTCATAAGTGTCCTAATCGCTTTGGTTTTTCTCAAAAATTGTAGGCAAAGTAAATCTCATATTAAATTTATGTTGCAAACTTCCATATTGTAATAGTATAAATATTGACTACATTGGCTACATGAATCTTATTCAAACATTATGCTCAATCAGGCACTATATTTTCACAATAAACAATCATATCATTCTTACTATCTCATTTAAAGTTAATTTTGATATACCCCCTCACATTACTATCAATAAGTAGCACATTACTCTTCCTCACCGGCATAATAACAAGTTTTCTATAAAAATGTCTGAATATTACTGGTACTTCAACCACTTCACGAACAAACTCATTCTTAGTTCTATACTTTCTCATTATACCAGACATTGATTTTAACATCCTATTTCCATTTAGTTAATCTTGCTTTAATTTCATCAATCAATAGTCTGTCAGCAACAAATAAGAAACACATGTAATCTCATCATGTATGTGCCTAGTTAATTCGTCCACAGTTAAGGCAAGAAGATATAGACTTAAAGAAGAATCCTAAAGTAAGCCTACAGTCATTCAGAATTTGCTAGCTGCTGCTACAATTAAAAGACATCAAACATTACATTCTTGTATAAAAATTTCAAAGGAGAAAACTAAATACATTTTTTTGTTGATTCAACATTGATTATGACAACAGATAGTGGTCTAACGAGTGCATCCTGAATGACTGGGACACAAACNAAAACTAAATACATTTTTTTGTTGATTCAACATTGATTATGACAACAGATAGTGGTCAAACGAGTGCATCCTGAATGACCGGGACACAAAANTACATTTTTTTGTTGATTCAACATTGATTATGACAACAGATAGTGGTCTAACGAGTGCATCCTGAATGACTGGGACACAAACTGTACATGTACTTACCACTAAGGAATTGTATATCAAGTGTTCTCTTCTGTCAGCAATTGACGGCCTAACAAGTTCGCCGGTATATTCAATAACCTACAGTAAATCAAAATTCAAAGAATTCAAGTACTGGAAATCTAAAAAGAACTAGTACTCTAATTGCATTCAAATTAGTTTACCATGTCTCCTGCTCTATGCGGATGTTTTGTAAAGATGCCAAATCCATGTATTCCGGATTTCCCTAGAGCCATTAACAATCCATTATAAACACAAATACAATAACTGCAGAAAACTTTTAATCGTTCTTACCTACTAAGAAAAATAACTAAGAGAATCACATATGGGTATATTTTTGGTATATGGTCACTCAGATGAGGAAACCACAATAAAATATTCCTGAGAACTTATTGCACCAATTTATAATATGAATGGAAAGATAAGAAAACATGCAAATGGAAAATTTATGTAGAACAAAAAACCAATCAGTAGCAATGGGAGGGGAATATAGAAAATATCCAATCAAAAATTCATACTACAGGAAGGAAACAAAAAAAGCAGAGCCACGAAGTCTACAAAAGAGAGAACAAGAGATGAATAAAACAAGACGTATGCCTGTGTTTTCAAATATAGTCTCTTAGTTTGAAGAGAATAGAAAGAAACAAGCTTCTATTTACTAAATATGCAAGTAACTAGACCAAAAAGCCCTCACAAGAAAGGCTGTATCATTGATCTCTCAAAAAGCCCTTAAGGTGGAGATTTTTCAGGATCAACTAAGTGTCATTTGCAAGAGAATGTCATGTCTAGAACTTTGGGATTGGCAATTTAATGACGTGAGTAGCTTGAAACTGAACATTAGCAAATTCCAGAAGATCACATAAAAACCTCAATCTTCAAGACTTCAAGGAAGACAAGAAGCTTCATCAACTGGGAGCCTTTGATCATCAATGGGACAAGTATCTAGAGTCTTAGGAAGNATTTCTCTTTTCAAGCTCCATTTACTGAATCTTAATTTAATGAATTAAAAAAATTCTGTCAACAAAGATGTGAATTAGGATTTCCGTCATTAATCAAAGCCTTTCCCCCCAAAAAAAAANACATAAAAACCTCAATCTTCAAGACTTCAAGGAAGACAAGAAGCTTCATCAACTGGGAGCCTTTGATCATCAATGGGACAAGTATCTAGAGTCTTAGGAAGCCAATATTAGGGTCAGGCACAGTACAAGTAGTAGCTATCAAGTTTCGATGCAAAGCACCAGCAAAACTGCAAAGGAACAAGCCTAGTCAACTAGCCCGCGATGCTTGTCGACTGGCCAGTCCACTTGGCTGTAACGCTAATTCACTAGCATCGTCAACATTTAGCAATTCTTACTGTTAAGCTAGCAATTGTAGCACCTATTAAAATGCCCAAACTTGTTTACAAAGGGGACTTTTTTTATGGTTTGAGAGCTCAGTATCCTATACCATATTGATAACATCTTAAGAGTATGTTGGGAAGCCTTGAGTGATGTACACCTTCATCTCACCATCACAAAGCTCACATGCTTGAAGAAATAGACCAAAGCAGTAGTGAGCAAGTTACCTAAATGTTTAGGATTATGTAGAGCTTATTGAAAAATAGCACACAAGGACATAATTCTGGTTAGGTAAGCAAAGTAGGAAGCAATAAGGAACAAAAAACCAGTTAAAGGGCGGCTTCTGCAGTCAAAACTAGTCGACTAGCTCTATGGCCAGTTGACCAGGTGCACACCTAGTTGAGCACAATTTTACAAGTTTAGTATCTGCATCAGATTTCAACTGATCATTCTACATCTAAATATAGGGCTACTTGCTCTTAAAAAATCTTGAAAAGTGAACAATTAAGTAACAAAGCCTTTCTTAAATATATCACACTAGCGCAGAATCCGTAAGTGTAGAAACTCGATTATTAGGACTGAAATGATTGCAAATTTTGGTCCACTAGGACATAAATGATTGAGAGTTTTGGTGGTTCCATCCCACCACCCACCCCAAAAAACAAAAAAACAAAAAAAAAGACTACTATAAAGAAGCCTAAACAATCTAACAACTAATTAAGCCACAAGGGGCAGAGTAAGCATGCCTCCAATTTCAATGTGGCAATATATATGCTTTAGATAAATAATTCAAGGTCCTGTAAGCATCTGCAAATGTGCATACCTTTCTTCCCCCAAGTAAAACAAATCGAGGTTTAAATAGCTGATATAGCTTACATCTGTATGCAGCCATACACATCATACAAGAAAAAAAAAACAGAAAGCCACAAGTTTTCTTCTTTGAAGCAAATCAAGGTTGCACACAATACTACAATAAGAAGTACACAATGAGATACTTTCAATAATTAGTACCACCTTTTGTTAAAAAAAAAAAAACATAAGACAACTGACAAGCAAATGAATGCGAATCTACCTTTTCAAATTTTAACTTGTACATCATCAAATCAAAGTTGAGTGATAGCCAATCAACTTAAAAGATGATTTACGAGAGTAGGGAATATCAGTTTCACTAGAATCCTAAAGTTTTTTTTTTTTTATGGCCGTAGCTTTGATGAACGAAAAAATTTCTGGTCAGAGGCAATCAATTAAGCCCCATTAAAATTTCGTTGAGTTAAGGCCAACATTTTTAAGAAAGGTCTTTCCACGATAAGGCCTGCAAGGGGTTATTTACCCTCCTTGAGATTGCTTTTGATCAAATTTTGGGGCATTTGTTCAGGAACAGAAAGGTTTGGAAAACTTGTTTTGGAGTTTTCACCCCAACCTAGGTTTGAGGGTCATTAGACTGCAGCTTGCTGCTGAAAAACATGATAGGCAAAGCACAGTCATTTCTCTTTTCAAGCTCCATTTACTGAATCTTAATTTAATGAATTAAAAAAATTCTGTCAACAAAGATGTGAATTAGGATTTCCGTCATTAATCAAAGCCTTTCCCCCCAAAAAAAAATTTTTTAAAAAATTGCCATTTATATTCTGAAGCATTTCCTGTTAATTACCAAAAATAAGTAGGGTCATTGAGCTAAACTGAACTAGATTCTTCTTTTTAACTAATGTTTTCAAAAAAACTTCCCAAACTTGATGGAGTTAGTCGCGGTGGTGGCATTATTGGGAGGGGTTGTTTACCATCAGTTTTTGACATTAGAGTTCGCAAGGGTTTGATAGCAATGACCCCATCAAATGTGAAAGTGAGATCACTAACGGTGGAGGCTGTGAAATGGCAGTAGCACTAAAAGTGAAGTTGGGGGTGAAACTGAGAACAGCAGTTTTGACATAGGTGCTGATAATGGGGTAGAGCTGTGGATGAGGTGGCCACAAAAAGAACTTGGGCCACTAAAGTAGACCACACAAGAAGTAAACTCTGGGTGATAACTCTAATGTGCCCTTTTTTAATTTCTGTTAAAAAATTCCACTACACAAGTACAATTTGCTAACCGTCTTTTACTCTTGGATTGTGCAAGCATACTTTTCACTATCACAGACCACTACAGTTTTTAGTTGCACTTTCTGAAAATATAACACATTAGTCAGCATATTGTGATGTTGCAAAAGGTAAACATAAGTTTCATGGAAGAACATGAGCAGGTGGAATCATTGACAGCAGGAAAGTGATCTTCCTTTTTCTGGACAATGACTTTTCTTTCATACTATTTATTTCTTTTTTTCTTTAGGGGCGGGGTGGGTTATGAAAAACAGTTGGAATTGTGATGGTGATAGTTTTTACTCTTTTCAATAAAAGGCCACCGTATCTACTGCTTGAATCAAACCAATCAATAAAACATTTTGACAATGCTAAAGAGAACACATATAATAAATTTTGGCTATGGCTTAAAAACAGAATAAAATGAGTTAAAAGAAAGCAAAGAGATATGGACACCAATATACAAAAGATATTGCAAGTAATGAATTAGCATGAAATCTGAGAAAGTGAACATAAGAATGAACAAATCCGCATCACATTCACTAGAATAAACCCGTAAAGGAAGTAATGCTTACCAAATGCCAATCTCTTTCTAAATGTTTCCCTCATAAATTTGTATTTCTCATTCATAGAAAGGATGCTCTTAGAAGCATCAAGTGGATAGGTTCTCAGCTTTTGAAAGCTAAAAGCAATTTTAGAACCAACTAGTGTATTTGAAGAAAGAGTGCTGCCGAAGAGCTCGTGTCTGCAGTAGCCACCAACCAAGTATGGCCTATTCTCTACAAATAAACGCTTCAAAGATGCAGCAGCCAGTGCTTCAGGTTCTTTCCTTCCCCTTCTCCCAAAATAATTATAAGGCTCTATATAAGCAAACAGAAAAGGAAACTATAAATTTGATAGGCATACTTGCATCATCATAGTTGAAATTAGAAAATCACAAATTCAACCAACNTTTGATCATCAATGGGACAAGTATCTAGAGTCTTAGGAAGCCAATATTAGGGTCAGGCACAGTACAAGTAGTAGCTATCAAGTTTCGATGCAAAGGAACAAGCCTAGTCAACTAGCCCGCGATGCTTGTCGACTGGCCAGTCCACTTGGCTGTAACGCTAATTCACTAGCATCGTCAACATTTAGCAATTCTTACTGTTAAGCTAGCAATTGTAGCACCTATTAAAATGCCCAAACTTGTTTACAAAGGGGACTTTTTTTATGGTTTGAGAGCTCAGTATCCTATACCATATTGATAACATCTTAAGAGTATGTTGGGAAGCCTTGAGTGATGTACACCTTCATCTCACCATCACAAAGCTCACATGCTTGAAGAAATAGACCAAAGCAGTAGTGAGCAAGTTACCTAAATGTTTAGGATTATGTAGAGCTTATTGAAAAATAGCACACAAGGACATAATTCTGGTTAGGTAAGCAAAGTAGGAAGCAATAAGGAACAAAAAACCAGTTAAAGGGCGGCTTCTGCAGTCAAAACTAGTCGACTAGCTCTATGGCCAGTTGACCAGGTGCACACCTAGTTGAGCACAATTTTACAAGTTTAGTATCTGCATCAGATTTCAACTGATCATTCTACATCTAAATATAGGGCTACTTGCTCTTAAAAAATCTTGAAAAGTGAACAATTAAGTAACAAAGCCTTTCTTAAATATATCACACTAGCGCAGAATCCGTAAGTGTAGAAACTCGATTATTAGGACTGAAATGATTGCAAATTTTGGTCCACTAGGACATAAATGATTGAGAGTTTTGGTGGTTCCATCCCACCACCCACCCCAAAAAACAAAAAAACAAAAAAAAAGACTACTATAAAGAAGCCTAAACAATCTAACAACTAATTAAGCCACAAGGGGCAGAGTAAGCATTCCTCCAATTTCAATGTGGCAATATATATGCTTTAGATAAATAATTCAAGGTCCTGTAAGCATCTGCAAATGTGCATACCTTTCTTCCCCCAAGTAAAACAAATCGAGGTTTAAATAGCTGATATAGCTTACATCTGTATGCAGCCATACACATCATACAAGAAAAAAAAAACAGAAAGCCACAAGTTTTCTTCTTTGAAGCAAATCAAGGTTGCACACAATACTACAATAAGAAGTACACAATGAGATACTTTCAATAATTAGTACCACCTTTTGTAAAAAAAAAAAAAACATAAGACAACTGACAAGCAAATGAATGCGAATCTACCTTTTCAAATTTTAACTTGTACATCATCAAATCAAAGTTGAGTGATAGCCAATCAACTTAAAAGATGATTTACGAGAGTAGGGAATATCAGTTTCACTAGAATCCTAAAGTTTTTTTTTTTTTATGGCCGTAGCTTTGATGAACGAAAAAATTTCTGGTCAGAGGCAATCAATTAAGCCCCATTAAAATTTCGTTGAGTTAAGGCCAACATTTTTAAGAAAGGTCTTTCCACGATAAGGCCTGCAAGGGGTTATTTACCCTCCTTGAGATTGCTTTTGATCAAATTTTGGGGCATTTGTTCAGGAACAGAAAGGTTTGGAAAACTTGTTTTGGAGTTTTCACCCCAACCTAGGTTTGAGGGTCATTAGACTGCAGCTTGCTGCTGAAAAACATGATAGGCAAAGCACAGTCATTTCTCTTTTCAAGCTCCATTTACTGAATCTTAATTTAATGAATTAAAAAAATTCTGTCAACAAAGATGTGAATTAGGATTTCCGTCATTAATCAAAGCCTTTCCCCCCAAAAAAAAATTTTTTAAAAAATTGCCATTTATATTCTGAAGCATTTCCTGTTAATTACCAAAAATAAGTAGGGTCATTGAGCTAAACTGAACTAGATTCTTCTTTTTAACTAATGTTTTCAAAAAAACTTCCCAAACTTGATGGAGTTAGTCGCGGTGGTGGCATTATTGGGAGGGGTTGTTTACCATCAGTTTTTGACATTAGAGTTCGCAAGGGTTTGATAGCAATGACCCCATCAAATGTGAAAGTGAGATCACTAACGGTGGAGGCTGTGAAATGGCAGTAGCACTAAAAGTGAAGTTGGGGGTGAAACTGAGAACAGCAGTTTTGACATAGGTGCTGATAATGGGGTAGAGCTGTGGATGAGGTGGCCACAAAAAGAACTTGGGCCACTAAAGTAGACCACACAAGAAGTAAACTCTGGGTGATAACTCTAATGTGCCCTTTTTTAATTTCTGTTAAAAAATTCCACTACACAAGTACAATTTGCTAACCGTCTTTTACTCTTGGATTGTGCAAGCATACTTTTCACTATCACAGACCACTACAGTTTTTAGTTGCACTTTCTGAAAATATAACACATTAGTCAGCATATTGTGATGTTGCAAAAGGTAAACATAAGTTTCATGGAAGAACATGAGCAGGTGGAATCATTGACAGCAGGAAAGTGATCTTCCTTTTTCTGGACAATGACTTTTCTTTCATACTATTTATTTCTTTTTTTCTTTAGGGGCGGGGTGGGTTATGAAAAACAGTTGGAATTGTGATGGTGATAGTTTTTACTCTTTTCAATAAAAGGCCACCGTATCTACTGCTTGAATCAAACCAATCAATAAAACATTTTGACAATGCTAAAGAGAACACATATAATAAATTTTGGCTATGGCTTAAAAACAGAATAAAATGAGTTAAAAGAAAGCAAAGAGATATGGACACCAATATACAAAAGATATTGCAAGTAATGAATTAGCATGAAATCTGAGAAAGTGAACATAAGAATGAACAAATCCGCATCACATTCACTAGAATAAACCCGTAAAGGAAGTAATGCTTACCAAATGCCAATCTCTTTCTAAATGTTTCCCTCATAAATTTGTATTTCTCATTCATAGAAAGGATGCTCTTAGAAGCATCAAGTGGATAGGTTCTCAGCTTTTGAAAGCTAAAAGCAATTTTAGAACCAACTAGTGTATTTGAAGAAAGAGTGCTGCCGAAGAGCTCGTGTCTGCAGTAGCCACCAACCAAGTATGGCCTATTCTCTACAAATAAACGCTTCAAAGATGCAGCAGCCAGTGCTTCAGGTTCTTTCCTTCCCCTTCTCCCAAAATAATTATAAGGCTCTATATAAGCAAACAGAAAAGGAAACTATAAATTTGATAGGCATACTTGCATCATCATAGTTGAAATTAGAAAATCACAAATTCAACCAACATGGCCAAACTATACAACAAAGAAGCATTCTATTTCATAGAAAAATAGAAAAAAATCCAAAGAGAAAAATGAAAAGGGCATAATTACATCAATTTCAAGGAATTTCCGNAGTCATTTCTCTTTTCAAGCTCCATTTACTGAATCTTAATTTAATGAATTAAAAAAATTCTTTCAACAAAGATGTGAATTAGGATTTCCGTCATTAATCAAAGCCTTTCCCCCCAAAAAAAAATTTTTTAAAAAATTGCCATTTATATTCTGAAGCATTTCCTGTTAATTACCAAAAATAAGTAGGGTCATTGAGCTAAACTGAACTAGATTCTTCTTTTTAACTAATGTTTTCAAAAAAACTTCCCAAACTTGATGGAGTTAGTCGCGGTGGTGGCATTATTGGGAGGGGTTGTTTACCATCAGTTTTTGACATTAGAGTTCGCAAGGGTTTGATAGCAATGACCCCATCAAATGTGAAAGTGAGATCACTAACGGTGGAGGCTGTGAAATGGCAGTAGCACTAAAAGTGAAGTTGGGGGTGAAACTGAGAACAGCAGTTTTGACATAGGTGCTGATAATGGGGTAGAGCTGTGGATGAGGTGGCCACAAAAAGAACTTGGGCCACTAAAGTAGACCACACAAGAAGTAAACTCTGGGTGATAACTCTAATGTGCCCTTTTTTAATTTCTGTTAAAAAATTCCACTACACAAGTACAATTTGCTAACCGTCTTTTACTCTTGGATTGTGCAAGCATACTTTTCACTATCACAGACCACTACAGTTTTTAGTTGCACTTTCTGAAAATATAACACATTAGTCAGCATATTGTGATGTTGCAAAAGGTAAACATAAGTTTCATGGAAGAACATGAGCAGGTGGAATCATTGACAGCAGGAAAGTGATCTTCCTTTTTCTGGACAATGACTTTTCTTTCATACTATTTATTTCTTTTTTTCTTTAGGGGCGGGGTGGGTTATGAAAAACAGTTGGAATTGTGATGGTGATAGTTTTTACTCTTTTCAATAAAAGGCCACCGTATCTACTGCTTGAATCAAACCAATCAATAAAACATTTTGACAATGCTAAAGAGAACACATATAATAAATTTTGGCTATGGCTTAAAAACAGAATAAAATGAGTTAAAAGAAAGCAAAGAGATATGGACACCAATATACAAAAGATATTGCAAGTAATGAATTAGCATGAAATCTGAGAAAGTGAACATAAGAATGAACAAATCCGCATCACATTCACTAGAATAAACCCGTAAAGGAAGTAATGCTTACCAAATGCCAATCTCTTTCTAAATGTTTCCCTCATAAATTTGTATTTCTCATTCATAGAAAGGATGCTCTTAGAAGCATCAAGTGGATAGGTTCTCAGCTTTTGAAAGCTAAAAGCAATTTTAGAACCAACTAGTGTATTTGAAGAAAGAGTGCTGCCGAAGAGCTCGTGTCTGCAGTAGCCACCAACCAAGTATGGCCTATTCTCTACAAATAAACGCTTCAAAGATGCAGCAGCCAGTGCTTCAGGTTCTTTCCTTCCCCTTCTCCCAAAATAATTATAAGGCTCTATATAAGCAAACAGAAAAGGAAACTATAAATTTGATAGGCATACTTGCATCATCATAGTTGAAATTAGAAAATCACAAATTCAACCAACATGGCCAAACTATACAACAAAGAAGCATTCTATTTCATAGAAAAATAGAAAAAAATCCAAAGAGAAAAATGAAAAGGGCATAATTACATCAATTTCAAGGAATTTCCGACACTTGTTAGACCAATATTTTAATTGTGGAAGATTTAAGTTCGTCCAACAGGGCAGGAACAGGCAGGCTTTTTACACCATGTACTCCAAATCTTAGTACACTAAGGCCAGGGTTACGTTAATTCCAGTTGGTAAAGAATAAGTTCATGTATTTTTGAAATAGGATTTCTTTTGAAAGTAGATGATCAATGACACATGGTATAATTATCACCCACTAGTTCACCATTCACTGTTAAAAATGTCACATTGGACATACTTTTGCTAAAAAAAATTTAATTGCCAATGTATTAAATTTGTAGCTTGTAATGGGATAATCCTCATGAATTGCAATTTGCTCGGTTGTTAAGTGGCAGACAGTAAGGTAGGGGACAAAGTGGGGAGTGTAGGACAAGCATGGCAGTGGGACAAATCTTTTGGCCTTGGGCCAGTCAAGACTGGATTAAGCTACAATAGCATGTCACACCAGATGTAGCTTCGTCCTGGACCTTCCCAAGTGTTTCTAATGTTACAAATCAATCCATCTACCGCATTTTTTCCACCTTGTTAGCAATAGATTATGTATCATCAACTGTATCTAGTTTACATATATAGCAGTAAAAACACAAAATAACAAGACAACAAAAAATAAATGATGTTAAATATAACACAAGGCAATTAAATTAATCCTGATTTCCAAATGTCACATAATCTTTCAATTATCTCAATTTAGCACTTAAACTTATAAATTCGTTACAACTGGTTCCTTCAATCCATTTCAGACATCAAACAAACCATTTTTTCCCAAGTGGGAATCATGAACTATTTTTAGGGGCAAAACAAGGTTTCAAAGTCTCAACAGTCTAATAATTACTCATTCTTTCATTTGAAACCTTAATTTCCTTGGACAAGATTAAGGTTTGAGACTCAAGAACCAGCAATTTTCAGGTCGTTGAGACCAAGGATCAAAATATCGTTTTGAAATGGTCGACACGTCCGAAACGTTTCCGTTTCCTAGGAGACCGAAACAAACCAGTGATGGAATTGAAATTCTAATATTTCGAGGTATTCCATAAAGTTTTTAAATATATTATAATATTTCAATACATTTGCACAATTATTTTATAATGTTTCAAGTTATTTCAAGATATTTTGATATATTTCCATCAATGTTTTAAAAAAATAATTCTTAAATTTTTTATTTTTTTGAAACAGGTCGAAACATTTCCAAAACACGTCGAAACATTTCCGTTTCCTAGGTAACCGAAACAATACACCGAAACGATATTTTGATTCTTGGTTGAGACTTTATATCCCTATTATGCCCCTTAAGGTAGCACATGATTCTTAAGTGGACAAAAAATCATCCATTTTGAGTTTTTTGATGCTTGAAATGAATAGAAGGAATCGATTGAAACGATTTTTAAAAGTTTAAGGGCTAAATCGAGAATAATGACACTTGAGGAAGAGACTCCTTTAAGATCTCTCCACTTCCTCACAACCTTGTTCTTAAATTCTCTGATATAGTCAAAAGGTGGCAGTAAAGTGGACTGAATAGGCAAAGTGGCAAAAAATGAAAATGGACAGCAAACACTGAGGAATTTTTTCAGATTTTAACAAAAAGAAAGAAATGAAAGAAACAGGAAAAAAAACAAAAAGAAAACTCCAGAGCACTAAAAAGACTTTTAACTCAAAGAAAGAGTGCACTCCCATTCCCACCCACCCACATACTTAGAAGCAATTCATTCAAAGATTCTAATAACCAAAAATTTGACAACACACCACTGCGAGCACAGCCAGATGGATTAGGGGGAGTGTAGTCTGAGAACCGACATGCAGTTCGAGTGATCCTTTCATTAGCAGACAAACGCTCACTGGATGGTGTCCTATGCTTCTTGCAAAAGGAAAGCAAACGAATGCATTGGTTCTCCTCATCCTCATCTACAGGAATCAGATGCAGTCTGTCCTCATCCTCAAGCTATGTATATAACAACAAATGAGAAAATTAAACTGACTCAATGTTTATATAAATGAAATTCATGAAAGACATAACAAGTAAAAAAGGGACTACATACCTCAGCACAAAAGCCAGCAGCACGTGCACAAAGGGGGTGATATGCCACACGACAACTATTGTTTGAACACTGTAATTTCCATTTAGATATAAGACACCATAAAAAAAGTAATCAAGGACAATAAGAGCTTAATGAAATGCTTACATCACGTAACACAAGGGATTTTTCCAAATAGTGTGTACATGAAGCTATTTCAGTCCAGTTATATGCTTAGTACTATAGTGTGCTACATTTACAGTTTACAAGCTGTACCAACTGCCCTATTCTCTCTCCCGACGTCACATAATAAGAACAAAATGAAGAGACAATTAACCGAACACGGAAATAAAAAATCATCAGCTGCTAAAATGATTCAAAGAATCATTGAATCCGAGTCAAGACTGTCAAGTTGTATCCTTGATTGATACTTACAGTTTTCCAGACATGCTATATTACAACTGAGCAGCACATCATATGGACACAAAATGCAGATAAAGTACAGGCTCACCAACAAAAGTATTCTCAAAACTAGACAGTGTAAGCCCCATCACAAGAAAAGAAAATAAATATTTAAGACGGTAATCTTAAGGTGGTGGTAAAAGTGTAATTTGAGAAGTTAAAAGGGAGGTTAGTGTCCATCTCCAATTTGTGGATATCCTTTTTCATTGGAAACCTCCATACCCATCCAGCAGGTTATGCTTGTGTCTTCCCAAAAGTTAGTGGAGCAGAGTAGAAAGCTAAAGTCACCAATGGAAAAAACAGGGGAAAAAAAAAACAATGGGAAACAATAAAGGGAAATTGTGTCAAACATAATGTGTGTACCATACATGGAGCAAAACAAAGGCGTGTCGGCTACTTGGGGGACAAGGAGAAGAAAAAGAGGGAGGAAAAGTGGAACAAAGAGGAGAGAAACCGTGAGATAGATGTTTGAACTCTGAATATGGTAGGTGATCATCCGGATTTTTGACGTAGACATTTTGTTAGCAGAAAATGAAATCAGACTTTCCTATCAGGACACAAGAACAAAGCCTATTCAATTTGTTTCTGTCACTAGATAACCAACAAAAAAGAAAAAATAAATCTAAAGTAAATCCGTCATCCAATTCCTTTGAAGATCCAACAAAGAAATCCCTCTAAAACTTCGTGTGCATTTGGTAAAGTGAAGCCATAAAACCTAATCGCTCCCATACAAAATCAGAAGGAAGAAGACAGTTTTTAAAAATTCTTAGTATTTCTCCCCATCCAAATACACCAAAGAATTGCCATGAACCCACAATGCTATAGTATTTTAGGTTCCTTTTTCTTTCCAAAACCTCAATACTTAATCTGCAACATATGCTCCACTGTAGAAGCACAAACTCAAGCCTCACCAATCAAACTGAATAATGTATTCCACAAACTCCATACAAAATCATTTTGAATAAATAAATGAACATTTGATTCTCCACTACTCAAACAAGTAAACAAATTGAAGTCATCAATCAAGGAATGAAGCGACATCAATTCCATATCATCAAGATGCCTACAAGACCCAAGATGCCAAGTCTTTGATTGATGAGNAAACAAGTAAACAAATTGAAGTCATCAATCAAGGAATGAAGCGACATCAATTCCATAATATCTCTATCATCAAGATGCTTACAAGACCCAAGATGCTAAGTCTTTGATTGATGACNAATCATTTTGAATAAATAAATGAACATTTGATTCTCCACTACTCAAACAAGTAAACAAATTGAAGTCATCAATCAAGGAATGAAGCGACATCAATTCCATATCATCAAGATGCCTACAAGACCCAAGATGCCAAGTCTTTGATTGATGAGAGTAATGACATATAGAAGACCCATGAAAATGAGATAACTGATAAAGACATAGGAACGTACACAAAAAAACATAATGATCCAACCCAAACATCCTCTCAAAACCGAATTTTCTCACCATCACCCACAATAAATGTAATATTTTGAGAAAACCTTGAGAGCCTCTGAGAAATAAACTTCCATGGCAAATATAAATTCCTCTATCTACCCATTCGCATTTCATCCATTGGCTTGTAATCCATACTTGTGATTAAGAACCGAATACCATAGTGAATTTTATTCCATTGGCAATCCCCAAACCCCTTTTGCCTTTTGTTCTTGACACCACTTCTCAATTCATCAAATGATCATTCTTCACTTCATCACTTCACCACTTCCTTCCCGTAAAAAGTCTCTCATCATCTTCTCAAATCTCATTATAATCTTATCGGGCATTTTAAAGAGAGATAAAAAAATAAATCGATACGCAAGGCAAAACTAATGGGACCAAAGTTAGTCTACACCCTCTAAAAAATATATGATCTCTTTCACCCATCTAATCATTTCTCCACCTTTTTCACAACCAGATCCCAAAAAACTAAGAATAAAGAATTCCCCCCTAATGGAAGACTAAATACTTCAATACACCACATCCCAACATCCCTCGTAGTCTAGAAAATTTTATCCAGAGACAAATTTACACCCACAATCAAACTTTTCTCCATATTGACCCTTAAACCTAACATCATTCCAAACACATCCACTATCTTTTGAATTATGAAATTTTTCCTCATCTCCATCTCAAAAAAGATAGTATCATAAGCAAATTGCAAGTGTGACGCAAGAATTCCATCCCTTCCAATAACAAAACCCCCCAAAAGATCAAATATTTTTACTCTTCTCACCAACCTCGACCTACTAAAACCATCAGCCAATAAAGTAAAGAGAAAGAGGATAAATGATCACCTTGTCTCAATCCTCTAGTTGCTTTAAACCTTCCCCTAGGCTTTCCTTTAGTCATAATAGAGAAATCATTGATTTCAAGATCCATTAATACACCCTCCGCATCTACTACCAAAACCCCTCATCTCCAAAACATGATTTGAAAAACACCAATCAACATGGTCATAGGATTTTTTGAAATCAATTTTAAACATGACACAATCTTTACCCCTTAATCTATAATTCTTCACCAACTCATTACCTACATATGCTACATCTAAAATTTGTCTTCCATGGATGAAAGCATCCTGACGCTTCGGTATTGTCTCACTACGAAACTCCCTTAATCTCAATGCTAACACCATTAAATAATTCTAAGATCCTACCTTTCTTTTTTCAAACTCACATCTAAACCTCCACTCTCTTCATTTTCAATCTCTTCAATTCTCCTGATTATTAGGCCCTTCATTATTCTAAAATCGTCATATATTTTCTTATTCCACAATTTCACATTTTTCCTTACCATCTTTAGTTTTTCATAAATTTAAATCCCTCACACCCTTGTATATCTCTTTCCCTAACCCTTCCCAAAACTTACCCTCAAAATCATAAGGATCTAGTTACATATTTTCAAACTTAGGACAAGCTCACCTAATGGAAGAAGTATTAAGAACAATAGGACAATGATTCGAAACTACCCTAGGAAAANTTCATAAATTTAAATCCCTCACACCCTTGTATATCTCTTTCCCTAACCCTTCCCAAACTTACCCTCAAAATCATAAGGATCTAGTTACATATTTTCAAACTTTGGACAAGCTCACCTAATGGAAGAAGTATTAAGAACAATAGGACAATGATTCGAAACTACCCTAGGAAAAGAAACTACCCTAGGAAAAGAACTCTGTCTAACTCTCAAACAACAATCCTCCGGGAAAAAAAAAAAGAATCCATCCAATATATTACACACCAATTTCCCAAAAAGTTGGCCTAGTAAAAATGTCATCACTCAAAGGAGTATCTTTCAAACTGGTTTCCATAATGAAGGAATCAAAATCTCTCATATTCCTCATTACTCTACTCCCATTGAGTTTCTCCGAAGTATATCTAACCAACATTGAAATCACCGCTAATACACCAACAAAGATTACAGAGGCCAAACAAACCCAGCAACTCTTCCCACAACCTCTTTCTCTCCCTAGGAAAATTGGATCCATATTCTCCGATAAACCATCACATACTTCCTTCTATGCTCTTGAATTTAACTAAAATTGAGAACTCTTTCAAGTGAGTCTGTTTGGTTGATGGTTCTCAACTAACTAATACACAACTAATCAACACAAGTACATGGCGCTCACGATGGCAACGCCATGCTAATCAAGGGCGGAACCAAGATTTTCTACGATAAGGACAAGAAACCTCTTTATTGAGACAAGTGACGTGGTGCATCCTACAAATTTTTTCCACTCAAGTTCTTTATTTTCCAGAATTCAACATCTCCGAAAAACCATTTTACTAGCATGAGCAAAATGTTGCATACTACAAATTTTTCTCTCTCCACACAATTTCTCATAACTTTAGAACCATCTCACCGTTCCATGTAACAACTTATCCACCACTCCAAAAGAATCATGCAATAAACACATTTTCTCAAATCTAAATGACATAGGCTCCCACTATAGAGGATTTGACTCAAAAACCAGCCAAACACTAATCCGATCTTTTCTAGCTCTTATCCCCAATAAGTCAAGACCTAACTGACTCCCCCTCAACCTAACCACGTTAACCCAAAGACAAATGAATTTTTACTACACCTTCTTTAGTGATGACTAAACGCTTTGTATCAGAGCTAATGCTTCCAATCAAACTCCAACATTTTTATTCTTAACTTATGGATCTCACTGGGCTTAGGAATATTGGAGTCAAGATTCAAAGTGGAGGACAGAACAAGAGGCAAAGAAGAAATAATACTCACAAAGTCAAACTTTTGCTTGCTCAAAATACCCACATGGTTAACACCACCAAGTATTCTAGACTTTTCCTTCCAAAATCCGTATCCTATCCCTAATCAAACAATCTCACTCTTGTTACTTTTATCGGTGGACACTCTGAAACTTAGGAATTCTTGAAACTCATTAAAAATAAATTTTCCGGTGGAATCAATCTGTAAAATTCAATTAAGTTAGAAATCAATTCACATGAAATCGATCAGCTGTTATTTTTAATTTCAGATTTCCCTTCCAATCTAGTATTCATATTAGCTCCACAACACCTCTTTTCCACTGTTGAACATCCATTAACAAAACTTGCACCATTTTGATAAGCTTGCCAACATTGAATTGTTGGGAGAAGTACGAACTCCTACAATTCTGTTTCTGTGCGTGGAATGGACCCCCCCTTTGATGACTTAATGAATCGTCAAACTCCATCTCCATATTCTTAATCAATATGGGTTTAATAGATCATATTTTTCTCTTTCTTTGATAAAAGGGAAGGGTATGCTTTAATCCAAATACACAAATGGTTCCCCCCCCTTTTTTTTTTTTGCGGGGGGGAGGGGGATTCCGACCTTCGAGATCCAAGTCAACCCGTCTCATTATTGGAAAAATGGGTTGCCCCGTCCCCCTTTGAGTTCAATGTTTTGGCATCAAAAAATGTGACTAAGGCAACTATATTATATTATCTGTTTCATTTTTCGTAACTATCCAATTTTTTCCGATATGGCATACTGATACCATACGTGGAACTAGTATCACCTTAAATAAAATACTGAGAATAGAAGAATACCATCAAACAAAAGATTCCAAATAAGAATAAATAGCATGAAATAGCATTACATGTGCTTAAGCAACAACTATATGCCTACCTGGATGCAAGCCCCGTAAGAAACACCACATATGCTACATNACCATCAAACAAAAGATTCCAAATAAGAATAAATAGCATGAAATAGCATTACATGTGATTAAGCAACAACTATATGCCTACCTGGATGCAAGCCCCGTAAGAAACACCACATATGCTACATAAAAGCTTCCAGCGATCCTAACAAAACAGAAAATTATATTATAGCCAAAAACAAAATAGGTTTGCTTAACCTGAGACGACTGGAATTTCTAATAACTTATGGTTATTCTGGCTACTTCCTTTTTATCTTCCAGTAGTTGTTCTTACAAACACAAGTAATAGATAACATTTCCAAGTTATAGACAGGGGTTTCTGAAGAAAATCAATAAAAAGATATGGATAACATTTCCAAGAAGTTATTGCAGTATAAAACACAAATAACTGACAGAAAGATAATACCTTATTGATCCTACTCAGCCCGTCAATGGGCTCCATTTTCTTGACATCAGATAAGCAAGTTTCTGCAAATAATAGAAGAGTTAACAAAGCATAATATATACTGCTCAGAACTAAATGTCAACATGAAGTCAGAAACCTGGTATCCAAATAGCACAAGCAAGATGAGCCCAGCGCCCATCTGTAGTGGACTTCATAGCGCCTCCTATAAAAGGTGAATTCATTAATTCTGTAATGCAGTGCTCATGCCCCCACTAAATTGTTAACATATTTTTTGAAAAAAATCATGGCAATGAAGTACCAATAACAGGACAAAGGCAGCACGGTGGTAAATCAGGAGCCCCTGGACGACATAAGTTGCATAACCAAAGCACCCCATCAACAGGCTCCAATTCCCCGTAGCACCTAGCATGAACCTGAGCAACCATTACAACTTTTGAAAATATGGAAATAAATGAGAAGAATAAGCAAAAAATATTCCAATGCAAAAAAAAATAATAATAATAAAGGTAGGATCCAATAACGGATCCACTTCATTATACAAAAATACACAATTATTGAAACATATGACCAATATTTCAAAACAACCACCGCGATGATAAGATTCCATAGATGATGGATGGTCTATGTCACATAATAAGTGTAACCCAACAGCAGGCTTTAATTTACCTTAAGAGTCTAGCATGAAACTGAGCAACTATTGGTAATGGTAAAATCATGGAAAGAGACCAAGAGCAATACAAAATCCAAGCATCGATTTTGAAGTTTCTTTTCTTTTTAGATCAGTATATTAATACAGTACAAAACAACAAAATTATGGGCATTCAAATTAAATGGGTAGAAAATGAAGTAAAAGAAGTCAAAATAATCAGTAGCAGAATTGCAATTTCATTAATAATGGAGACAGATGCAAAATTGTTTGTAAACCAATAACTCTGCTCATAGGATACCGCATTCACTAACAAAGCATAAGCAATTAAAAGCCATAGCAGATTTGCTGGAAAAAATAAAGAAACAAAGAAAGGAAAATAAAGGAAGAGCCATACCATCATTCTGCATTTATCACACTGCAGAAACAAATTATTCTCGTACTCCTGAAAAACAAAAGAATTTGCATATCAGCATATTCTAGTCATTCCAATGTCAGGGGGAAACAATGAAGTACCAACAACCTGGTAAACGGAAATTAAATTCTAAAACAATTATTTTTAACAAAAACAAAAGGGAAAAACAACAGCATCAAGGAAAACAAGTGTCAAACTCATTTTTCAAGAAAGAATACAAAAGGAAAACATACTGGAACCAACAAAATCCCAAAAGATGAGGACTACAGGAAGCATAACCTAATCAGTGCATGAGAAAACTGGCTTCTCACCTCATCCATATGGCAGACATTGCATTTATCAAGGTCTTTCCATTTAACATGAACGGGTCTGTAACCTTCAGGCTGGTCTTGATATCTTCCAGATGTCAACTTGGAGAGTTTTGAAGGAAGTTTGGAATTGGATAACTCCTGTCAACACCATGGACACCAATGTTAAGCTACAACTTGGAGTTCATCAAAAAATATCTGAAAAGCAGATATACACTTAACAGCTTAGAATGCCAAAAACCATGTCGTGAAAGACAAAATCACTGGAACCAACTGAAGGAGNCACCAATGTTAAGCTACAACTTGGAGTTCATCAAAAAATATCTGAAAAGCAGATATATACTTAACAGCTTAGAATGCCAAAAACCATGTCGTGAAAGACAAAATCACAGGAACCAACTGAAGGAGTAAAAGAAAAGAGTGAAGATTGTTACGCGCTATGGATGGGCTTATACATATCCACAGGTTTTAAAAATTAAGGTATCTTCCGATTTAAAAGGAAAAAGTTTTGCATTCAGAAGCAAAAGATAATCAACATAAAACATAATTATAGGCACAAGTTCTCTCCTGAAAATCTGTATCCCAAAACAAAAGTGAACCATGTTTTCAACATAAAATGCAATCTGTTAGGTTTAGTGTTTTGTTCAGGTAATGTTTTGTTGTAATTCTACCCAACAAAACCCATAGAAAAATGATACCAACAGAACATCAGCACTAGCGAGTTACACTGTACAGCTTTCTAATTTTTTTCTGGTAGAAACTGGGGACATTGCCTATAAAACTAGGAAGCATGGAGACTTTACTTTGGTTAAAGTGTCAGTGTCGGACACGTATGGGACATAGACACGCTTAGAACACATATCAGACAATTAAAAGGTCTGTCAGATTTTTTATTGTTAAATTTCTTCCAAGACACATTTTGGACACATTGGGGACACGCAAAAAAGATGAATTGAATGATTGTTATCAAAATATATTTATTTTATCACATGATCATACATATATAATTCTGTAAATAAATACTTAATATTTAATGTGTCTCCCAAAGTGTCCATATCCTACTTTTTCAAAAATTTCGTGCCAACGTGTCTGTGTCCGTGTCATAGACCACCACATTCACATATCATTTGATCACATTTTATTTCTACACCAGGTTTATAACTTAAAAATGTCCTCTCTCAAACAATCAACTTGTATGAACCTCAAGCTTTCTCCATATCCCTTCATCTTCCATGCACTCTTCACCTGAATCAGCACTGCCTTCATCCTCTCCACTTGCACTTTCATCATCATCAACCTCAACACCATTTCGCACCCGTAGCATTCTTTTTGGCAGCTTCTGTTGGCTGAGATACCTGATGAAAGAATAGGTACTTCCATCAGTCATTTTTTGGAAAAACTCTTCATGCAATAATTATATTGGCCACAAAAAAATAGAGAATAATTGCATGAACCATATTTATACTCAAATTCTTTTTGTGTGTGTAGAGTTATCTAGGACAAATATGAATTTAGTAATCTATATATTCCCAAGTAACCCAACAAGATAGCAGTACCAGCTGCCTGACCTCTGATAACTAAAATAGTAAATCCAATGAATGCAGTACAAAGACAAGGAGAACACAAACTAAAATGTTACAGACCCAAGTAACAACATAAATACATGCTACGAGGTAATGTGAAAAATAGAGAGGAGGAGGGAATTTTTGGCTGGAAATTCAGAACCNCCAAGTAACAACATAAATACATGCTACGAGGTAATGTGAAAAATAGAGAGGAGGAGGAGGAGGAGGAGGGAACTTTTGGCTCGAAATTCAGAACACAATATGAGCTCCAAAAGTAGATAAAATACCAAGTAACAATAGCTGCAGACTATAAAGTTCAGCATTTTAGCAATAAAAACCCCAAGCATAACTCTGACCAACAATAGTCAATTTAAATCAACTCAGTTAGTGTTGTCATTTGATGAGTGAAGGGGAAGGAATAATCAATTCATGCAAGCTTGCTTCCCCCAGCTCCGCGTATTTTGCACAAATTTCTTTAAACTCTAGTTAAGAAGGATCCATGGCAGTGNTGATGAGTGAAGGGGAAGGAATAATCAATTCATGCAAGCTTGCTTCCCCCAGCTCCGTGTATTTTGCACAAATTTCTTTAAACTCTGGTTAAGAATGATCCATGGCAGTAGTGACCCTTGTGGAAAGAAGATTCCTTCCTGATTCAAGAACATAGTTTAAGGGAAATGGATTTATCTAGAAGTTCCATGGGTAGTGAAATAATTATAGCCTATTGGATGGATTTGTCCCAGCTTTAGAAGCAAAAAATGCCAAAACAGGATCCCAACAGACTGGATCAAGAAGCTTTTTTGGCAACCTCAAATTGAGCAAAACTAAGGTTTTGGATGAGATTGAGCACAACTAAGGTTTTGTTCTATCCTCATTCATAAGACACCGGTGAGATATTGGGAGTTTGAGAGGCTGAATTTGGGGATCCTCTTTCATTTATCCTTTTTGATTTAGTAATTTTAAGGGAGGGTTCCTTCTCAACTCCGAGTGGGGCTTTCAGTGAAATCAATGAAGGTTCAAGAGGACCTTGTTGGATTTGGGGCTTTAGAGCTTTTGCATCCCTTTTTGGTTTCTCACCTGTTCATTGATGACACTACCATCTTTCATAGAGGAGGTACTTCATTGTGTGCGCTGATTTGTTTCAGGCAATTTCCAATATAAGATTTACATTTTGACTGCAGTTTTGCCATGTTGGAAACGTAACTTCCTAGACTCTGACTTGGGGCTACTTTTGTGATCATCGTGTAGGGCAGGCATTTTGGATGCCATAGTGGAAATATCCGATAGGAGGTTAGTCGGATAAAAAAATAAAATACATCTTACAGATGCAAGGTCTACTTTTATGAAGATGTTTTGTCCAACTAGCGTACCTGCTTCATGTCATTGGTTCAGATCCTAGCTTCAACATAAGACTAGAAGATAGACTGGACAAGCCACAGGAGATATTTTTGGTGGGGAATAGGTGATGAGTTCAAATACCACTTCGTGGATAGAAGGTTGTTGCTCTTCTATTCAAGAAGGGAGTTTGGGTAAGAAATTTCATGCAGTCAAATGTTGCATCATTGGGTAAATGCGTGTGATGTTCGAGGTGGAAAGAACTAATTTGTGTAGGAGACAGCAGAACAAACAAGGGTGTCAAAAATGGGATTAGCTCTCAAATATTATCACAATGACCAATAGGATGGGGTCGTGGATTAATAATCAAATGGGATATGAGGAAGTTTCTTTGTACATCAACGTTGCGGAGGGCTTGAGTCTATGGGACATGTTTTAGCATGATGCTGGAGTGGCAAGGCTCCTATAAGGATTAGATTCCCAAACTTGCAAATTCTAATCGTCAATAAGGAAGCATAGCTAGCAATTTGTTTAAGCAATTCAGGAGATGCGGTGAGTTGTGGTCCTTTGTTTAGGTGGTGCTTTCATAACTACCATTTAGAGTCAAAGAGTGCTATCTGTTCAAATCAGCAGTGGAGGGGACTCTTGGAAATGGGAATCCTTTTACTGGTGCTCTCTGGGAAAAGCTTGCGTGAATTTTCCTTAGCAGGTTGATTGAAAAACTTGAGCGCAAGGTGGCATCCTCTAGATGATCCACAGCTTTTGAAAAGATATTAACTTTGGATAACTTGCACATTAGGAGAAAACTTAGTCAATAGGTGTGGCATGTGTAAAGGGGCGGAGGAGATATTTATTGCTAAAGAATTATGACCTATCTTGTTCTTTTTTTCCAGGACGTTCTGGGTAGTGCCTAAAATTCAATGATGGAGCTATTTCAATATTACAAGGGAGGTTGTACAAAGAGAAGGTGGATAAAGGGTTGGGTAGTGGCCCCTTTCCATTGGTGGTAGAGTATATTGCTATAGTGTAAGGGGAGACAATTTTAGGAGTAGAGTTATTAGTAGAGTTGACAATCTACTGCTTGAGATACCTTTCCTTTTTTAAGATACCTTTCCTTTTTCCATTGGTGGTGGAGTATATAGCTATAGTGTAATGGGAGATAATTTTAGGAGTAGAGTTGTCTTTAGTAGAGTGGACAATATAATTTTTGAGATACCTTTCCTTTTTTGAGATACTTTTCCTTTTAGTTGTTAGGAGGGTCATGTGTTATTTAAGGCGTAAAACGAATCGATCTCCTGAGGGCCTAGGCGAGAAGTGAGAAGTAAAACGAATGTTTCATCGAAGCAAAACAAACAATATAAAAATAAAGAAAAATTTTTGTTTAATACTTTGATTACTCCTAAATATCCAAGTTTTAACTTTGCAAATAAAATATATTTAAATGCAACCAAAATAATAAACATCTACATATTTTAAATGGACAAAATATTAAATATTGAACATTACTGCATTTTACAAATAATCAATTGACATAATCACGCCATCTAAATAGAAAGCTAGCAAATGTGGGTTTAACTCTGTTGTGTTACTTGGAAACAGATCTAGTAATGGGTTTATTTATTGGAATTGCGCAAGGATCAACCTTGTGTAGTTTACCTATTTTGGAAAGATTTAAGGGGTTCTAGAATACTTCGAGGGATTCTACGCCTCCTCGTAAGGTAATTCGAGATACTTTAGCATCCTTTGTACAACACAAGGTTGAGACAAAAATTCTGCCATCCTTTATTCATTAGCTCATAGAGCTTAAATAGCCAAACTCGACTTACATGACAAACTAGAAATGAGAAAATCTCATCCCTTATCCCAATAGAAATCTAATATATTTATTCCTATCTAATACTCCTAATATGTCTACTATTAATGCTAGCCATATGAAGGCAATACCATTCTTCTAATAGGACTTTGATTCCGATTCCACGTGATGGCCCTGACAAACTCCAACCGTGATCGGTTAGTATCACTACTAAACAGAGCACTCACAAATTGATTAATCAATTAGAGCATATAGCAAATTGATTAACAAGAGCATTCACCACAAAACGGAGCACTCAACATCATCTAATCATAACAAGACAGATTGCTATATTGCTAGATGAATCAACCAATTTATTTTATATTATATGTATTTATAACATCATTTCTACTAAGGTTTAGTTGATGTTAAGGAAGAAGAAGAATAAGGAACAAGAGGGAGAGGAGGAGAAAATAAAAAAAATTGGCATTCGCTTTTCTTGTCTGGCTCACTTCTTTGCTTCGTTGCCTAAGCTCGCTTTTTTCTCACTTTACTTAACCTCACTTTACCTTGGCTATTCAAAGTGACCAAGGCTAACTTCACTTCGCTTCGCTTCGCTTCTCGCCTAGGCTTGCTTTTCACAATACTNTAACATCATTTCTACTAAGGTTTAGTTGATGTTAAGGAAGAAGAAGAATAAGGAACAGGAGGGAGAGGAGGAGAAAATAAAAAAAATTGGCATTCGCTTTTCTTGTCTGGCTCACTTCTTTGTTTCGTTGCCTAAGCTCGCTTTTTTCTCACTTTACTTAACCTCACTTTACCTTGGCTATTCAAAGTGACCAAGGCTAACTTCGCTTCGCTTCTCGCCTAGGCTTGCTTTTCACAATACTGAGAGGGTCCATGTTCATAGTTGATTCTTTAGTTTAATTTTGGGGAGACTTTGGGGGTAATTATGTATATTTTTGGGGAATTTCCTTGGAGTGTTCCTTTTTTTCCTTTTTGTACATAAAACACACGTGCATGGATTTGAGCTCCCTTGGTGCTCTATTATGAATTTGGTCTATCAAAATTTCAAAAAGAAAAATTAAGGATGCATGTATGAAGAACTAGACGCATAAATCAATGCAGTGTAATATATGCACCTCAAGAAATAGGAGGTACTGTGTGGTCTAGGGACAACACGAATCATAATAAATCAAAGGAAAACATGAATAAAAAAACCATGCATTTACAAGTTAATTCAATAAAAATTCACTACATAGAATGAAGAGGATTTGTTCACAAATAAAACATCGCTAACTCGAAAGCAGGCACTGATATGCTCATGTCACACACTCCACAGCCTTTCGCATTGCCAATTAGCAAAACTAGCATTAAAAACAGATGCAGCAAACCCTATCTTTTCTTAATACTCATATGCAAAATTAACTTCCAAAATAAGCTCACATTTTTGCTTCCTCTAAGCTTTGAACAAAATTTGATTTCTTGCACTTCAGGTGGAAAGAAGAAAGCAGTCCTCTAAGAAATGAGATAACTTGTGTCGTTTTAACCCTATAGATAGCAAGGAAATGACAATGATATTAGACTACAAGAAGGTAAATTTATGTAAACAACTTAATTGTGTCATAAGTTTGACGGCATACAACAAAAATGAACATTTCCATAGAACTCCAAAAGCATAGCACACCTTGCAAAATCATGGGTGCCAAAAAATTGCACCTTAACTGATTTTTCAACTGAAATTTTGTTTAGACCTTTATGGACACCAACGGGAGATTCATCCAGAACAATTGCTGGCCACATTGCATGACCTGCATCAAAAACAATTGTTACAATTTGTTGATAAATAACCAAACAAGGAAACTGATGGCAACAGTAAAGTAGTAGTAGTAGAAGAATCTAATTAATCGTGCTATAGACAAAGATTATTTGTAATAATAACCATAAAATATAACATAATCCGATCCATATATTTGTCGGATATCAGTATCATAGTCCACATCCAACTCCATTAAGAATCAGACATCTGCCCAAAAAATCAATCCAATCCAAATCAATTGAATTTCAACAAAATTTTAACAAAAAAATCAACAGTTTCACTCAATTACAGCTTAATTCAACTTAATTTCATCAATCAATCATGCAATTTCAATACAATTTTCATCTCAACTTTTTCACCAAAGCAACAAACAGTTCCTGATCCCAGAACAGATATTCAAATAAAAATACAAAGAGCATGCCATAAAAGTCGATCACGTCATTGATAATGGACCTACCCATAGAAGCTAAACATGCCAGATATATCTCATAACCACATATCTGGATTCAAACTAGTATNTTCCTGATCCCAGAACAGATATTCAAATAAAAATACAAAGAGCATGCCATAAAAGTCAATCACGTCATTGATAATGGACCTACCCATAGAAGCTAAAGATGCCAGATATATCTCATAACCACATATCTGGATTCAAACTAGTAGGACTAGGAGCTAATCGCCAGTAAAGCTGTGTGTCAGTGTCATATACAAACCCCAAATTTGTTGTTTGTTTGTTTGAAGATGAGAAAAAGAGGGGGGCAGTAGAAGCAAGAGAGAAAAATGGGAGAGCAGAAAAGAGAGGAAGAGGGAGGAAGCATAAGCAACACAAAGGAAACAAAGCGAGAGAGAGAGGGAAGGANAAAAAGAGGGGGGCAGTAGAAGCAAGAGAGAAAAATGGGAGAGCAGAAAAGAGAGGACGAGGGAGGAAGCATAAGCAACACAAAGGAAACAAAGCGAGAGAGAGAGGGAAGGATGTGTGAAGGGGGGAGGAGGGTGCAAACATGGATCATGGTGGGGAAATGAACTGGGGATGGATAATGTTGTTTTAAACTCATAATGTAAGTCAGATCGGGCTCAGGTGGACCAAACAGATTCAAATTCTAATTGAAGTCCTGTACATTGGCATTCTATACTCAAGAGCTTGCACAATTAATTAGACAGTTTTTTTTTTCGAGATACTAATTCATTAATTCTTTATGCATCTTAGGCACCTTGCCCAAGACCCCTCTTGGCAGTGTGAGGAATTATTATTTAAACAACAAACTGTCTAAACCAATCAATTAAAGATTGCCAAAACAAGTCCCAAACAGAATAGCAACTCAAAAAGAAATAAGCACCATTTTTAGCAACAAAGAAATTTTATTCAAAACTTTATATTCACTATTCAGCACACAAAGGATGAGAAATCCTCCAAAAGATGATAAAAGCAGAAATCAGCAAAGCCTAAAAAACAGGTTACATCCACAAACCCATATCCAATCTGCCCTAACTGACATGCATGAATTCAGGCTACCACATCCCCAAACTTGAGTGCCCTCTTTAAAAAGGGAAAAGAAACTAAAACGACCAATTGAACTACCCATACACAAGCCTAACATTGATAGAATTAAAGTCAATCAAGCATAACCAACCAATGGTGTCAAAAATAGCACAAAATTCCTAATATCTCCATTCGTATATACAAAACCCACTCTGTCTTCCTTGAATATCAATACTACTCCATATCACAGAAAGGACACTAGTGTCATTAGCAAAACAAGAGCCCGTTTCTCTCTTCCACAATCAATCAATGCACACTCTCACTTTTCTCATAGCATATGGATATTAAAATTAGATTATCCTCTTTACAATATGCAGCACAAACAGAAATTCCGGCTAGTGAGCTAATTCTCAAATTTAACTAACAGGTAAGGTTGTGGATTTCACCGCTAACAAGCTCATACAAGTGAGTCCATAAGAGCCATAAAAGTGTTCATTCAACATGGGGAATCAAGTTTGCAAATGTCAACATTATGTCTAAAATATTAAAATAACCTAAACACATTAAGCCGTCAATTTTCGAAATCATTTTTGAAAATACTGGTCAACCATCAACATTAGCTTGATTTGTTTATACTATCAACTCTATTAGAGATTGTTCCACTTCGAGAAAATAACTACTTCCAAACTAGTTTAAGAATCATGTGAGCCACTAATCTCCTTGCCAATTGTCTAAAGTCAGATGTTTAACATTATATCAGAGCTGCAACTAGATCAAAACTCAATTTCATCAATTTCATAATTAATTACATCTTTGTACGTGCCATAAGGGTGCCCTTGTTTTGTCTCTGAATTTCTTTTCTCATTCTTCCCTTCACCTCTTCAAATGCAAGTGCAAGTCGCATCTGTAAGGGGCGTCAAAGCATTATGCTTATCCACAAAATAGACTTTCCAAACTATATGAGTCTCATGGGTCTCTCCACTCATTACTGGTTGATCTTGATTTAGATACTTTAAGAAACTCCTCTAAAATAGTTCATAATATACAATGCATAGGAATATAGTAGTCCACATCCAAAAACTAAGCACTTGATTTTGTTTTATTTGTTTTGGGGGGAAGGGTATGAGGGTTAGGTCTGTAGTAAACATAAATATTGTAGAAGATGATACTATTAATTTCACATAATTAGAAGTAACAGTAAGGGCCCAAAAGGGTGTGAAGTGCCTCCGTAACTTATGTTAATTAAAAACATCACAAAAGCATAGGCAAGGAAAAAAATGATTGCCAATGCTTTGGATTTTGGNTTAATTTCACATAATTAGAAGTAACAGTAAGGGCCCAAAAGGGTGTGAAGTGCCTCCATAACTTATGTTAATTAAAAACATCACAAAAGCATAGGCAAGGAAAAAAATGATTGCCAATGCTTTGGATTTTGTTTTATTTCTTTTGGGGAAAGGGGAACAGATAGATGGTCTTTAGTGAACATTATATATCGTCGAAGATGACAGCTATTGCAAATGACTAAAAGTAAGAGTAAGAGCCTAAAGGGTGTGGTGTGCTAGCATGTCTTATGTCAATTAAGCCCAAGACTATAGCATAGGCAAGAATAACAATGATTTTGGTTCCTGTGTACATAAACCAGTCAGCTGCGCCATCAACAATTCCTTCTTACCAGCCTAAATTCATCCCAACCCGTGCACAGCCAGAAGTTACATACATAAAAACACTAAGAGTAAAACATAAAAAAACTAAGAGTAAACTGCAGTGATATCAAAAGTGTTTCAATTTTTATGATTACAAAGACAAGATAAATCAGAAGAATGAAAACTCTGCTTTGCTTTGCCTCCCACAGCCAAAACCCAAAAAAAATGAAAGAAATCTCAGCCCCAAATTGAGTTTGAAAAGATATTATTCTTTGCTTTTTGTGTGTATGTGTTCGTATCCAGAGGAGGCAACACAAACCCAAACACAAGTAGAAGTATTTTACAGCACAGAGATGCATGTAAAAGCACACACAAAAAAAGACAGAGACCATCATGTACTATCGCATATAATTCATAAAGTAAACAACTCGCTCAAATATAACAGCAGATGAACTTTATGGATATATGCACAGAGACGTACCAGTTATTTTCGCCCAGATGATATCCCCAGCCTCAAGCTCATGGAAATCATCCAAACTAGCAGCCAGTGCAACCATCTCATTAACAGCAAGGCCATCAGCCTCAGAACCTTTAAGACTGTAACTCAACTTTAAACGCTGCATATCCTCCGCAGCTAAGTAAAATTTAATTCTTTCATTCGCTAGAATCAACTTTTCTTCGTCACCATCTTCATACTCAATCTACAACATTCCGTTCATTGGCTTATTAGGATTACCAAAACTGTTCCTCACAAATGTTCGAAAGATATAAAACCAATAAAACAATCCATGAGATGCGAGGTTTACATGATGTCGGTCAGTCGCTAAATCGTACCCAACAATCCGACCACTGTACCAATCAGCATCCAATGGCCAATAAACCTGTTTGCACCAATATGATGACATTGAAAACAACGCAATTGTAATACAGAGTTCAGAAATAAATTTTTTCTTCTCTATGAAAATGCTTGCCTTGCATTGCAACCCGATAAATTTCTTGGGATCAATACCGTCAAAACTCAACCTGCGCTCAACTAGAACAAACTTAAAATCGCCTAATTTACCGATAAAAAAAAAGAAAGAAAGCCATATAAATTTTTCAAAAACAATGCAGAAAGACAGCTTACCAAACCCATCTCTTTGTGCGAATGGAACCTGAATTTTCCTTTAGGGGTTCGTTCTCAGTAACAGCGCATTTTCTTCTTCGCCCAAAATTGTTATTATTATTGGAATAATTCCGGTTTTCTCTCAATCGGGGGCCGTTAAGACGGCTTAACATGCTGGAATCTACCCCCAAATTAATCAGCTCATTACTCCGAATTTTTCTCTTCTTATTCTTCTTCCCCTTTATTAATCGGCGGATGGGGTCATCTTCTTCCTTTTCTTCACCTTCTTCGAACTCAAAATTCTCCGATTTTACAACAATTGGAGGAGGTTGCGCATTGGACCGCGATGAATCGAGTAATGAGGGTTTGTTCCTCTTGCGACGGCGAGAGTAGAAGTGAGTGACGGGCGGTTTCACCATGCGCGATGTTGATGATTTATGCTTTTTATGATGATCGGGACAGTGAAATTCGGGTAGCTTTCTGGCTTTCACCTTCTTGGAGGATGGAGATGTGGCGGAGTATACGTCGCACAGTGGGACGTACTTCACTGGAGTGCCCCTCTCCACCTCCTCTTCGTATCCACCTTGTCGTTGTGCCTCTTCTTCTTTATTGCTGAAGATTTGAGTAGGAAAGGCCATGAATTTGGGAATTTTGGGAAAAGATGATAGAGAAAGAGAGAGATTGAGTTATTCTCCCTCTCTATCGTCCTCTCCTTATGCCAGAGAGTTTGAGGTTTCTTCGAAATCTCTGCATGTGTGAATCTCGAATTGTTAAGAAGTAATTTTTAGGGTTTTAAAGGGGAAGGCTAGCACTCGTGTTTTTGGAGGGAGGCTTTTCACCCAAAATAATCCGTTTCCCGCCGTTTGATACTCAATAATCGGGTTTGCATAGGACATATTTAATATGAAGTAACCCACTTAATGTTGTATTATTGCTCATTAATTATCCACATGAATTTAAAATTGTGTTTGATAATATTTTTATTTTTTTGTAATAAAAAATTTAAAATAATCTTATTTAGCTACCCTGATTAAGAAATTATAAAAAATGTGTTTGATAATCACTTTAATTTACGTCATATTAGTTGCTTTATATTAATTATATCATAAAAAACAAATCAAAACTCATCATCCCAATACATCCATAAACTCATCAAATAAGAGATAAAGCAAAATTCACCATCACCTAAGTCATTAAACATATCAATGATAAGTTGGTTGAGATGATCTCAATAAGAAAGTACATTATAATAAACTATCAACTATTCTAATTTAAAACAATGTATCTATAGTACAAGAGAAAATGTGTACAAAAGATTTATCAAAAACCCCGAAAGAGAGGCGCACTAGAACTCTCGATGCATGTCTATTTATCAAGCTTCAGACACATCAATTTATTGGAGTGTACAACTCCACCAGCTGCTCCATGGTTGAGATGCCTCCACCCTCTGCAGGCATGAATGAATCTAGTTTTAGCATGCCCATAACAAGTAAGCAAATACACCTCATAGAATATTTAAAATTGCAAAACTCAGCATAAAACTACCTGCTACAAATCCAATTCATGAAATATGAATTGTTTATTAGGGGTGGCGTTAACTAGAGCATGTCAATGAAAGCTAAACTCTTCAACCCAAATATTACCCAAGCTTAATGCTAAAGATTTCAATGGAGAATTTAGAGTTAAATGGATTAGGCTTCATTTCTGGGTTGCCAATCATTTTTAGATGCAGAAAAACTCACTTACAGAATCAATCAAATATATTATACTCAACATTCCAAACGACATAACAATAGCCCAAGAGATAAATTTTCTTATCGTTGATAATGTAAAATTAAATCCATGACTATAAGCGCGCACACACATTGATGCACACACACATACTGGACTCAATATCTAAAACAAAAATAGAATCAAGATGAAGAAAGAATCCTAGATATGTAAAAATAAACCATAGATTTGAAAAAATAAACCCTAGATCTATGTATATTTTTGCATATATATGCATAGATCTATGTATATATAGCATACAGATTAGATATTACTTTTGAGAGAGAAATGACTTTGGAGGGAGAACTTAAGAGAGAGAAGTCGAGCAAAGTTGGCTTTGGAGAAAGGGAAAGAGGTCGAGCAAAAATGAAGAGATGTCGCAGGGACCTTTGATTAGCTTTCAGTTTTGTGAGAGAGAACATACGAGAGATAGATAGATATGGAAAGAAAGAGAGATTTCTAAAAAGTGGAGAGTTTTGCTACTAATGCATGTTGAAGGGTGGACCTCATTAAAGTCACCCTAGCCCCCGCACGTGTTTCGATTTTTTGTGTTTTTCAAAACACCAATATTTTGTTTACAAAAATCTGACTTTGTTTTCAAAACAAATTTGTTGAAAAAAATAAAAATGGTTACCAAACGGGGACTAAAAGTAACATGACTTGTCTAGAAGGGGCATAATATAGTTTTACCACTCTAACTTTTATAATTATTTTATCATCATAAATTTCTATCTAATTTTTGAATAGTATGTTGATAATCAAAAAAAAAAAAAAAGAAGGGGGATGAGGACAAAAGGGAAGGAGATTTGTGCAAAATTCGTGCATCACACAGAGAGGCCCCTAGTGCTTAGTTAGTTTTAAGAAATCATATTTAGAGATGGTCTTTTTTATCTCTCTCCTAAGATCTTGCTCCCTTTTGTCACTATTTTTAATATAGGTATATTGAAAATAATATTACTAATTGTTGATCTATTCAATTGGTAATGAATCCAAACTAACATTGAGATACACAATTAATTCAATAAAAATTGTCGATTATGTTAGCATAGTAGGTTAGTAAACTAGGTAACTGTGATTACTTTATTGATAAAAGTATCTTTAATGACAATGATTCTTTTGTGTATTGTTCTCCTACTTTAAATTTCTAACTTTGTCTCTGATTCAAAACTGAATCTAGGTTCTAATGCTATAAACATGGATTCTACGTCGGCTAGAAGTAAGGAGTCTTTGACAAGAGGTGAAAGCTTAATCTAGGAATATATCATGTGAGTGTAGAAGGCAACGTTGCTTGTCAAACTTTGTCGTTGAGTGCCCAATCATGAAGGAGCCAAGGATCAAAGTATCGTGTTGAAACGTCTGAAACATTTTAGATTTTCAAAACACCGACATGAAATAAGGGTTAAAACCAAAAAATTTAGAGTTTCAAATGAATCATCAATGTTTTGACCATTTCAGTCGAAACAAAGATGTTTCGATTGAAACATTAAGATGATTTGACAGTAGATTCAAGCCAAAAAAAAAATAGAAAAGCTAATCTCTGGATTTCTCACTAAAAAATCCAACAAAAAAATCCAATAAAAGGAGGGAGAGAGAAAGATAGATAGTGTTGCTTACCGGAGGTCTTCAAGTCTAGATCTAAGTAGATCCAAGCCAAACTTCACTCCCACATACCAAAAATTCTACTTCCTTTACTCCCCAACTCTAGATCTGAGTAGGTTCGTATGTTTCTTTTTTTTTTTCCGCTCTTTATGCCTTTTTCTTTGAAGATCTAGGATGGAGAGACCCAAATCTAGCCTTTGCTTGCCCTTGTTGTTCGTGTGTTCCATTCTCTCTCCCTTGCTCTCCCTCTCTAAAGCAATAGCTATTTGTTTCTCCCCCCTCTCTATCTTCATTAAGAACAAACATTGTTTGTTCTGTTTTTAATACCACACCCCCATTGTTGAGAACACACTAACATCTGTTTTGTTTTAATTTTAATCCACTAACCCCCTTTTTTCCTTTTATCTTTTCTACTTTATTATAAATGTTATATTATATTATAATAAATTGTTATATTAAATTGAGAACATACAAACTTATTTACTAAATGGTTATATAAATAGTATACCTTATATATTAATTATTTGCAATTAATTCTATGGTATATTAAATATTTGAAATTAAGTGTGCACAAAAATTGTTTATTCTGTAATTTTAATATTAATGAACTAATATTACTTAGTAATTTGATAACAATTTCAATTAGTAATCTTGTATTTATGCAAATTAAGTGTTTGAAACTAGTAGAAGTGATTTATGCTTTGTGTCGAGCCTTTTTTTCTCCTCAAATTTGATGTTATACATTTGATGTTATCTTGTATAAATGGATGTTAACCTAATAAACATACTCAATCAATCAATTATTAAACTTATCTTTTCAAATAAAGAGATTTTATTTATGTTTTCACATATTTTCATATTTGTTCTCTGTTTTCATTGCTTTTCCGAAACGTTTACAGCTTTAAGCTAACCGAAAAAGTGCATTGAAAAGAAATTTCAATCCTTGGATGGAGCTTGTGAAAGATGCTCTAGCTAACTTCATGCCAACAACCATGATAAAATGGGGGACAAGTGTTCTCAAGGATGATTGGGCGTACAAAATGTGTAGGTTGTAAATCTAGTTTAACTTGCTGACTAGGTTTGGCAACTAATTTAGTCTTCAAAGGCCGCAAAACATGCTAAAGTTGTGGAGTGCATAAGCCTCATTCTAGATATGACAATTTTCTTTTGGTAGTAACTGGTTGATACACACGTGCATTGCACATGCACCATTTCAAAATATAGTTGTGATTTTTTTTTTTTTTTTTATATTTACACAAAGTATTGCTTGGCTAAACTATACTTAAAGGACCTTACATTAAAACATAGTTTCTAAGGTAGAATCTAAATGGAAATTGAATAATCTTTTGGTAGCCAAAAAGTCCCAAAACCATAACCATAAAGAAAGATTATGAAAAGAAAATCAAACTCATCTTACAATTATATTCAATGACTAGACTATAAATTGAAAAAAAAAGAAGAAGAGAAACAACCGACAAACATATATATGTTGACAAAATTGGCCGGTTTACAACCATCACAACTGACATTGACTTTGATAGGCAAATATTTTCTTGATCGATATAGTAGCTTTATCAGCATTTCAGATAGTTTTGAATATCTTCTCATTTTCCACAATAGATTTTTTTTCTTCCATATGTTTGCTTTTAAAAAGCTTGTCTCAAGTAATAGGAACAATAACTTCCGGGTGGATTGAATGGGATGACAGTTTCTCATTCCGAATCTGTAAAATCATAATTTCATGAAATTTTGTTGGATTACAATACTTATAACTATGAAACATTTTGCCCTTTCCGTATCAAACGAAACAAATTTTTATTCCATGGATGACACTCGTGTTTTGGAAGGAGGCTTTTCACCCAAAATAATCGGTTTCCCACCATTTGATACTTAATCAGGTTTGCATAGGGCATATTTAATATTAAGCAACCCAATATGAAACTAATGAGATATTGCTCATTAATTCTCAACATGAATTCAGTCGTAACACGACACGTCTATATGGACACCAAACAAAATCGCTCTTGTCCTTTTTCTATTTCCATCCTCAATTTTTTAGTTAGACAAATTAATCAAATTAATGTGTTACTCATGATTAATTGTCAACATAAATTTAATGATAACACGCCACATTAATGAGATCTCTAAATAATGATCTTGGCACCAATTCTTGTCCTTTTTCACCATTAACATGACACATCAATTCTTGTCTTTTTTTCGTTTTCCATTCTCTCCAACTAACTTCGTCAGTCAAATGGATTGTGAATCA